GTGTATGCTAGAAATCTAATACTGGAATTAGTAAAGGCGCATTAATAATTTGTAAACCTTACAGTTGTATACTCAGAGGAATGTGTATGTTTTGCAAGTTATAATCTTATTTTTTCCTCTTCAAACTCTTGTGGTCTTGCAATCGGTGAGTGCAGTTGTCTTCCAAGTTCTTTACAAGGTTTGCTGAGATTACTTGTTACTGGCAAAAGCTTAACCCTTCTGTGGCTGTCAGAAGACTTTGACACTTGTTTTTCTCAGGTGATTTACACCTCTGTAGACAGTCCAGCTAGTCTTGAGTTATAGTAAAGAGGGGCCAAATACTGAATGTTTCATAGCACAGGTTGTAGCGTACATGAAGGGCTAGATTACATGTTAAATAGAATGAGAAAATCATCTAGAAGTAATGTGAAGGGTTGTACCTTCAGACTTTTTGTGTTTAAGAAGGCGAGGAAAAAGAAGATACCTTTTTCAAGTAGTAGAAAACTAGGCAGTGTTTATGAGTGTGAGGGACAGAAAAAAGGCCTAACCCAGCTCTGTTTATCACATATAGGGAATTCTAGCCTGTTCTTAGTCCATCTGTACTGTCAACATTGCTTTTAATGGAGGAAGGAGTATACTGTAATTTGGTTCCCTAGCTGTAATTTGAAGTTACAACAGTTTACCACTTTGTTTCAATTGCTGTTAGATGTGTAGCATCACTTGCAGGGCATTAGTGTGCTCCTGAATTGCATGTTTGTTACCCCTATTTAGCAAACACTTAAATAGGGAGTATGTGCTTTCAGGCATCAGATACTTAAGGTTAGATCTCTTGCAGGTGAAAAACTAATTGAGCTTGAAGGTGTGATGGATAAATCAGCCTATTTCTAGTCCATGTCAGTTGGACATGTATTCAGTTTCTGCATTGGTCTGTGATTATTTTTATACATGAAAATCTGCATTTGTATTTCCGCTTAATGCATGCCATTTCTGTATGTAACTCTTGAACTGAAAATTGCATCACAAAAGTTAGAAGCACACAGTTGAAGGATAACTGTTCCAAACCATGTATTGGTCTGGGATGTGTAATGTTAGTTTGGTCTGCATTTTTACATAAACCAAAGAAAAAATTACACTTTGTTGCATGTATGTTAACATCCCCAATCTTGAGGAATTTGCAAACATGAAGGATCCATATTTAAAGTTATTTAAAATGGAGCCTCATAGCGCAGTGGTTAAACTGCAGTACTGCAGCCAAAGCTCTGTTCATGACCTGGGTTCAGTCCTAGATAGCCAGCTCAGGATCCACTCAGCCTTCCATCCTTTTGAGGCTGGTTGAGTACCCAGCTTGCAATGTGTAGCCTACGTAATAAAACTGTAAACCTCCCAGAGAGTGCTTTAAGTGCTATGGGATGGTATATAAGCAGCATGCTTTGCTTTGCTTTTTATTTCAAAGCTGTTATGTGAATTGGACAACTTAATAAAATGTGGCTATCTTTTACAGGTAGCTGGCAATTTCCACTTTGCACCAGGAAAAAGCTTTCAACAGTCTCATGTTCATGGTAAAGTCATTTACATTCTTCTGAATAGCTTTTTCCAATGTCTAATTTTTTTTTTCAAATTTGAAGGGGGGGAGTCATGTGGCCCCCCAGATATTGTTGGATTGCAACTCCCATCAGAATACAGCCTGGCAACACATGGAGGGCCACACTCTTCTGGTCCCTCTCCTAAATGTTAGAAAATGCTGTAATCATCATGAATCATAGCTGGTATAGCTGACATGCCATTGCTAAAGTGAGAGAGCACTGGCAGGAAGAAAATATCTAGATAGCATTGGGAAAATAAGCAATTTGCTTAATGAGGAAGGGGGCAGCACATAAGCAGGGAACATTTTTGCCTTCCTTGTGTTTTGGCCTACAATTGCCATCATTCCCACGATATGTCTAATGGTAAGGAAGCTTGGAACTTGTTGTCCTAAACATCTGGAGAGCCAGAGATTCCCTACATCTCTTGTAGCATCTAATTATGTGAAGTTTCTGGGGGTTTTATTTCTAAATCAGTTCTTACATCTTCATGTCTTAAGCTTAGATATTTTATGCAGTCAGTGTCCATCATCAGGTTCCTTTTGTAGGTGTAGATTTGATAACAAAAATAATATCATCATAATAATAATTTAAAACGTTATTAACTGCTTCTCAACCATGAATCTTAGGATGGCTTATAGAGCATAATATAAAAATAAAGTATCTACATATATTAAAGTGATAACCAGTATATTTTAAAATAAATAGATTTAGAATGCATGATATGTGTATGCGTGTGTATGTGTGTAGTATTAGGAGATAACTGGGTTATTTCCCTTGTTGTATATGACAGGAACTTCTGTTTGAATGGTTGGATTATGATCTAAATAATAGGACACATTGACTGAACACTTTAGGAAAGAAATACTGTGGGCTCAAAATGAACAAAGCCTTTGGATCTATGTGAGAATCTGAATGTATTGTCTGCAACTAATCTCTGAAGGTATCTCCTCCTATTCTATGTAGGATAGTCTTTCCTGCCTGGCACCACAGTGAAATAGTTCTTGTCAAAGCCACTGTGCAAGAGTACTACAGAATAATTATTCATATACTTCTCTGACCTGTTGACTCTTTTATCTTCCATCATATATTCTTGTCACAGTGGCTAAAATCCTGTTGAGTAATTATGCAGATGAAATGTTCTGCAATGTAAACATCAGATTGCAATGTTACTGTTTAATATAAGTGAGATGAGCTGAAATTAAATTAAATGGATAGCCCCTATCCCCACCTTCAGCTATTGAAGCTCCCTAGCGCAGCCTCAGGCCAACAGGGAAACTTTAATATCAGAAAACCGCTGCCAGATTGCTGACACCAAGATTGGGACTGCCAGTGATGCTCTAGCATTGATTTTTCTGATAGTAAATGCTTCCCCACCTCCCTCCCATGGCTTCCAAAGGCCTCTCCAGCTTGATAGGGTTCCCTAGGAAGCTTCTGAATCTGAGCAATAGGAAATGTTTAAGTTAAAGAGAAATGTCACAAGCTGTTGACATCACAGCAGTTATGTTGGCAAAGCTGTAGCAACTGGATTTCAGCCATTGGAAATGAGAGTAAGAGATACATACTATTTTCCTGATTCCTTTCTATATTTGCTCAGATGACAACCTTGGGCTGTTTCATAAGAGGATTTTCCATTCTTCCCTATCAGTCCTTCCTCCTATCTCTTGTTAAATAGTACTGTGCTACCCATAAGTTCTCTTAAATCACCTTGTCTCTGCTATCTTGTAATTGGAATTTTATTTTACATTTTTTACCATTAATTTAAGGTCATCATCATCAAAAGTATCCAAAAGCCATTCTAATTCTTTCTTCTATAAAATTCTTTCTTCTATACATCAGTTACTTGACTACCTACATGAGGTGTCTCATCCTTCTCCATTGCAGAAACTTGTTGTTTTGTTGGTCTCATCCATTTTTTTTAATTAGCCAGTGTTTGATGATAGTGTAGTACTTGTCCTTGTCATTGCATTAGCATTCAAGTTGCCCACTTGTCAAAACAAGTCTGTATAAAGTGGGATAAAGTAAAGAGTTATTGTAGATCTTCTCTGAATAACTAACTAAACCATATATTCTGACATCTATATCAGGATGGGCAAGTTATTGCCCTCCAAATATAGCTGGAATGCAAATAAAACGATTCTTCACCTGGCTACTCTAGCCACATCTGATGAATGTTGCAATATAACAACATTTGGAGGGTCATAGTTTGCCCACCCTTGATTATAACCTGAAAAAGATGGTCCTCCTAATACTGAGAGACTGTTGCAGTTATATCAACCGGTATCTTAGCTTTAGGTCCTGACAGAATAGCAGTTGGTACTGCTAACATATATAGAAGAAATATTGCAGGCCTCAAGTTTGGTTCAGAAATAGCATATAGAACATCTGACTAGTGCTGGGAAAATTTCAGGAAGTGAAATTGCTTAGGCTTCAAGAGTAATAAGCTAGCTGGATGTTGTCTGATTTATAATTTGTTACCATAGATGGAAAAATGCTATATGCTGATAACCATTTTTTAATTGTTTTCTATAAAAAGCATTGTGAACCCTACTTGTGATCAGATATTCAGACTAAGAGGGGGACACTCTGTCAAAAGTGCCCCTGACAACTCTATTGTTAGAAACCTGAAAAAGAAGTGTCATTTTTCTACGTTTGTTTGCTTGAGGGCCTCATGGCGCAGTGGTTAAACTGCTGTACTGCAGCCAAAAGTGTGCTCAGGACTTGGGGGTTCAATCCCAGGTAGTTGGCTCAAGGTTGACTCAGCCTCCTGTCCTTTTGAGGTTGGTAACATGAGTATTCTGCTTGCTGGGGGGCATTGTGTAGCCTGCATAATTCACGTGTAAACTGCCCAGAGAGTGCCTTAAGTGCTATGGGGCTGTATATAAGCAGCATGCTTTGAGTCTTAATCTTATGCTTCATACAGTTGTATGAGAGCTACCTATAGCAAACGGAGAGGAACATGGCCTTTCAAATGATGCTGAGCAGCTGTTTCTGTCATTTATAGCCCACGTAGCCATTGGTATGTGATTTTAAGAGGAGTTGTCTGGCAATATCCAGAAGGCCATAGTTGTCTAGCCCACTGTCATGGCCATAAAACATATTGTCTCCTTAGAAGCTGTTAATGTTCTATCCATGTTAGGAAAATAGCAAGGTTCAAAGAATCTTATGGATCAAGAGAGATTCTGTTTCTTTGTGTCACTGTGGGCTTTTTCCTTTGTAAAAAAGAAATCCAAATGTTTCTTTGTGTCACTGTGGGCTTTTTCATTTGTAAAAAAGAAATGTTGTACAACTTCATGGTAAAAGGAGATAACAGGGTCTTGGAAACGTATGATCTCAGTTGTAGTTAATGTCAATGATCATTGCTTTCGGTTAAAAGATCCTGGCGTCTGAGGCTTCGTTTGAAGGACAAGGGAAGTATTTCTGTTGGGCTGCTAACTGCCATTTTACTTCAGTGGTGGTTATGTGGAGGGTTGCAGCTGAGTACATTAACTGTGTTAAGTACATTAACTGTGGAGAAATGTTAAGAATGCAGGAGAGGAATTTGCTACATCCCCAAATGTAGCAAATGAATCTGCTAAATGAATCTGCTTAGGTATAGCTAGCCATTAGGCAATACAAATTGTGTGTCTTGCTGCTTCCTGTCCTTAAACAACATCTCAGCTCTCATAACTGTTAACATTTCATTTGACACATCTTTTTTTAATGCTGTACTCTGGGAAAAGTCTAGCAGGACACAGTGTTTCATAATCCTGGAATACATTATGAAAATGTAACTGATTCTGATAGGTGCACATTGGCATCATTTATTCTTTCTGCTCAGGTAGTATCCATGTCTGCATGTGTGTCAGCCTTCAGTCATAGCTGTCATTCTAGAATAACTACTTTATTTTTGTCCGTTTTTTCCCAGTTGTGCAGCAATTAACCAGAGATGCATGTTCCTTAGGCTAAAGGCTTCCCATGCTACAAGTGTGAGGATCCATCTTGTTATCTGTGTTAGTTGTGAAAGTCCTTTGCTATTGCACACCCCAGCATTGACTGGGCAGATGAGGGAGAGTAAGTGAGATATGGAGTGTTTCCTATTTCTGTTCTCTTCCATCCTCCAGTCATGAGGAGATGAAGGGAAGAAGAATGATGTATGGTGTGCAGAAAACAGCAACTTTTCTCCATTCTCATAATGCTACGACTCTGTCTCATTCTAACTTCCGTCTTGAATGGCAGAAAAGAGGAAGTACTTCTTAGCTACAGCTCATAGTTAAACTGTAGAATTCACTGTGCAGTTACTAGTGCAAACCAGGAATGTTTAAACAGGATTAGAGACATTCACAGAAAAGGCCATCAACAGTTGCTACTCGGTATGTTGCATATCACCTCCACAATGAAAGGCAGTATGCTTCTAAATACAAGTTTCCAGGGAACTTGTACAGTTACAATAAAGTCCTGGCCAGTTGCAATTAAAAGTAGCTTCCAATCTTGAGTTATCTGTTTTGGGTTTCCTATGGGGAGTTGTACAGCCACTGTGTGAAAGAAATGCAGAAATGGATAGACATCTATTGTAATGCAGCACTTCTGTTTCTTATTCGAAGGCTGTGCAATTGATATTGAGTTCTATCTTCTATAAAACCTTCTTATCATACACTTAGAGAAACAATAACTCAGCCTGCAGAGGGCTGCATGAGTACTTTAACTCAGTTGGTCACAAACATGTTGTTTTGCTCCAGAAGCAATAATTGCTGCTGTGCAGCAGCTGTATGGGGAGCCAGGAATGCATCTTATGGCGCAGTGCTGTGTCTCTTCAGCTTCTCAGGCTGATATATACGTGAAGTTAAATCCTTCGTGCTTTCTTACAAATGGAGTGTTGCATGCTCAGGATTTGTAGGCAAAGTAACCAATGCCTCCTGAAAGCAAAATGTATTTAAACGCTTGCCTTTGATTTTCAGTATGGAAATCTGAATATTTCTCTCTTTCTTTTCTTAACTCTGCTCATTTTTGCAGTGCACGCTGTTGAGAGTAAGTGATGCTATCTTCTTTCCTTTATTTATTCTGTACCATCTATTTTTAATCAAATTAATTTCTCCAGCTGATACTTTGCAGTGCCTTTGGGTTTGACAGAATCGGGGCTATCTCTGGGGCTTGCATGCTTTCAGTAAAGTTTGGCAAACAGGTCTTATTATCTATAAAGGCCTTAATAAGAAATGGCCATTGTGGTGATTATATTGGTTTGTTCTTCAAAACTGAGCAAAATAAAAAATTAATGTGTTTACAAGTCAGTTTTCTTGTTGGCTAGGTGATGATTGTAGCTTTCACAAATAAGATTTTATTGTCATAAGTTACTTTTAAGAACTATCTGAAGAGTTGTAAATACTTGACTGGGTGTGACAAAACTGTTTTTATCCAGAGAAATCTTAAGTTTGCTTTGTAGTCCCTGTAAACTGATCCCAGACTACCCTGGATAGCAAGTTCATTGTTTAGACTGTTTATTATCCTGGGAATCTTTCTCTTTGTTATGACAGTTTAGCAGTGAGAATGAGACCACAAATTTATACTTTAATAAAACACTTGTACTGAGTGCATACTTACTAGGCCATGGTCCAGTCAAGGCTGGAGTCTCAGTACAGGGGATCTTACAATTTCACATGTTACTGATTGCAATTTAGTATCAAGAAAGATTAAATGTTCTCAGATGCTGTTACTAGATCTCATTATGCTGATTCTGGACAGGTGGTTGGGTTGAGGAAAGGCGGGGGGAGACTAATGTGTTGATTGAAAGAGACAAAAAACCTGAAACGGGGGAGACTAATGTGTTGATTGAAAGAGATAAAAAACTTGAAACATAAATATACTAACTTCCTTAAAAAATCTTCTTTAAATACTGAAAATAAATCCCCATAGGAGAGAATTACACACTAATCAGTAATATCATATCTAATGTGAAGAACTAAAAATCCAGATGTTCACATTAGCAGGACAATAATCACACCACAGTGAGTTCTTTATTATATAGAGAAAGATGAAGAACGAGCAGTGTTTTAGAAGCCTGATATGTTCAGCATCTTATCATGGATAACAGAACCAAATTATAGTAGCCAGAATTCATTCATAGTCATGACTAGGGTGAGATCAAACTAATGTGAAGAACTAAAAATCCAGATGTTCACATTAGCAGGACAATAATCACACCACAGTGAGTTCTTTATTATATAGAGAAAGATGAAGAACGAGCAGTGTTTTAGAAGCCTGATATGTTCAGCATCTTATCATGGATAACAGAACCAAATTATAGTAGCCAGAATTCATTCATAGTCATGACTAGGGTGAGATCAAAAAGAACAAGAATGCATTCTAAGAAAGTGGTTCTCACTCTTGAATCCCCAGATTTTCTTGGACTACAGCTCCCAAAAATCCTGGCCAGCACAGGGAATACAGCTCCCAAAAATCCTGGCCAGCACAGGGACTTTTAGTTCTAAGAACATCTAGGGACCCAAGGTTGGGAACCACTGTTGGGCATCTTCCAAACATATTGACATCTAGGGACCCAAGGTTGGGAACCATGTTAGAATAAAAGGGCATCTTCCAAACATATTTAAGAGTCTATTTAGTATATATGTAGTGGAGAAGAAGTTACACTGAAATAGCTCTTGTTTAAATCTCACTGCTTCTAATGGGAACTAATTCCTACTTAAAAATGCAATCAGAATTTTAAGACTCAGTTTAAGCCATTAATAAATTTAAGCTTAAAGTAAACCATGAATAAACTTACATCAACCATATAAACATGAATATGGAAACTAAGCTAATAAGATATCCTGGAAAGAAAAAAGCCCAGGGTATTAGCTATAAAATAATACACAATATTTGGATAAGTGGAAGGAATCAAAAACTACTTGTCAGTAGTAATGTGATGATAAAGCGCGATTGTTCCTTCTACAAGTCCTTTACACCACTGGTCCTCCAGATGTTTTTGGCAGAGTTCCCACTGCCTGTAGCCAGAATAGCCAGTGATGAAGGGGTTTTGGATTGGTAGCCCCAAAACATGTGAAGGCCACTGCTGCCCACCCTCTGCTCAGGAAAGATGTGAACTTAATCTTTGTTTATAAACGGTGAGGCACACAGCAGTGTGGTGTGCACAGACTATTGAATGGAGCTTTATGCACTTTAAAAATGTATAATGAAAGTGTATTGCGTGTTATATTTTAAAATGTAAATGTGGTAAGGTTGTACATTTTCAGGTTGCCGTATAGTATTGTATATACCCCAGACAAGGAAGATTTGCCATGGCTAATGAATGTACACACATTATTTATATTTATTACTATATAACATATAAAACCAGATCTGAGTTATTGTACGTCTGAGAGCAGAACATTTAGTATCTCTGTCTTAGATTCTTAAATCATTAGTAGCTTCATTTGGCTCAAACACTTGTGAGTGTTTTGTCTTTGTCAAGTCCCTGCCTCCTCAGACTTTTAAAAGGTGAAGTTTTCCTGATAACTGGGATCTATAGCAATTTATTAACATCTCTAAGTACCTTGATATTATTTTGAACAACATTTTAAAAAAGGAAATCTATGTATTCAATGAGTTGTATTTGATTGGATAAAGAACTTGCTCTCTGAAATTTCTGGTAAAAAGGGAAAATTACAACCAAACTGGGGTGATGTTTCAGAAATGTTTATTTTAGATCTACCCTGAATGGAGAAATTAATGTAAGCCATGTCTGCTGATTAAGAAATCATATTGCAAAGACCCAAGATAGAGGGTTGTCCTGACATTAACCAATGACAGAAAGAACTGATGTCCTTGCATGTGGATTTTGTGTGGAATAGGCATTGAAACAGTGTCTTCTCACAGGCCCTTTACTTGGAAAAGTTTTTGGTGCTTGTGACAATTTTGTTTTCTTCACTAGAAATGTGATATTTTCACATAAGAGGAAGAGTTTGCTAAAATGACATGATGTCTCTGTCTTCCAGTTCATGACCTCCAGAGCTTTGGACTTGACAATGTAAGTACACTTGGGAAAACATAACTGAGATATGAATCTCTTATTCACATCGGAAAAGGTGGGACACAAGCTGAAAATGAAAGTAATTTTCTAGATGCTGGCATGACATTTGTAGCTGCAGAGATAGCTGGTTAAATATAAAATCGGAGAGCACTGTTTAAAATACGTATTTTTGTTTCAAAGACTGCTATGGAGTTTGATGTGTGCCAGTGACTGAACTTCAGTGGCTCACTAAATCTTATAATCTTTTTTTGAAAAGTATATCTTTCAGGCATTATTCTCCTCCTTCATAACTGTATGTTGACTCATAAACACAAATAATGTGTCTCATTCCTGAAGCTTTTGCTCCCAGAGGGAAATGAGCCACATAATTGCAGGGAGACAAGTTTATTTCTAGCAAAGCTTATGCTCACTGATAAATTATTTAAAGTTGTAAAGGAGGGAAGCATTAACCTCGCTCACCTTGCATAAACAGTCGCAGGTGTTAAAACCTGCTCCATAATAAGGAGACAGAGAACCTGCTGATCTGGCTTCCTATGGCATACATGTGCATTCACCGCTGTTGAGGATGTGATCCTTGCAACAGGAAAGGGGGGAAGTAATAAAAGATATTTTCATTTTTAACACAGGCATAGATAACAAGCTACTCTACTCTTTGCTGGTTCTACGACTGTTTGAAGATGTTGTGGTTTTTTCCCCTCAGATAAATATGACCCATATTATCAAGCACCTTTCCTTTGGGAGGGATTATCCTGGTATTGTGAATCCTCTTGATGGTACAGTTGTCACTGCACACCAAGGTACTGGCCTGAAAAACTAACAATTCTAAGAAAAGTTTAGAACGTTACATGTGGGATAGCAGTACATTTTAGATTTGCACGAGAAGGGAATAAATCCATATAAACAAAGACCATCGGTCTTATATGTGGCAATGCCACACAAATTATGTACTTCTGTTTTGACCAAAATAATCACATTTAGTATTGAGCAACTGTATATGTCTTTTAGTACCAGGAAGGAAGGGTGGCTGTTCTGTTTCCAAGAAGTTCTCCCTCTTTCTTGGACTCCATGCACAATAGAGTGTTGTGTGTTCTTTTCCTCCATTTATTTTTAACCTTTGAAGTAATGTGTAGCCCAGAAATTATGAAGAGATGGAAGATAGTAAATCTGAGTAACTCTCTGTTGTATTCCGCTCTCATTGACCTCTCCTCTGTTTCGCAGACCCTTAAACGGACTCCGTACACAATAGAGAGTTGTGTGTTCTTTTCCTCCATTTATTTTTAACCTTTGAAGTAATGTGTAGCCCAGAAATTATGAAGAGATGGAAGATAGTTAATTTGAGTAACTCTCGGTTGTATTCCGCTCTTCTCATTGACCTCTCCTCTCTTTCCCAGACCCTTAAACCAGACAAAGAATAAAAAGGGAAATGCCAGACAGGAAAGAAGGATTTCTCATGTTACATATCGTTCTCTGTCACTGTTTCCCTTTTCGTTTTTTCTGAGTGCCAGAACAGACAGGAAGGAAGAAGGTTGAGGTGTTCAAGTAGATAAACATGTTCAAAAGGGGATCTCCTTATTTGAGAAGTGCAGTGGGTGAAGTTGGCGTAATGAGAGATGTGGTGTAAAAAAAATGTTTTCTCTTGAAATTTTGTGCTTCCTTTTTTCCTTCTATCTTCCACAGAAAAAAGCAGATGCAGTTCTGTCCTTCCCCCACCCATTTGCCCTTCCCACCACACACACTCACAGTTTCCTGCTTCTCTCTTGTCTTGAAACTTTGAAAGCGAAGATTGGGTAGCAGAGGGAGGAATTGAGGGAGGTATAACAAAAATATTGCATCTCATGTCTCCCCCACCTTTTCTTGCCACTCTTACCCCACCAAGAGTTTCCATCGGAAACAGCAGGTTATCCTAAGGACAGAAATACGTCCTTTCTACATCCCCAATCTTAATCAGTTATTAACTGTGCAAGAACTAGAAGTGATCCTTAAGTATAAGGATGTGTTGCCTCATGCCAAGGTGAAAACCATCTGTACTGTGGTATTCCCAGTTACTATGTACAGTGGTGGTAGCTAACGGGAAAAATTCTTTGAAATAAGGTACTGGAGGAGGGGCTTTCAGATGTTATGGACTGACAGAACAATAGATAAGAGAGTTCTACACAAAGTAACACTGCCCTGTTGCTAAAAGCCAAAATGGTACAACTGAGGCTATTGTACTTTGGATACATAATGAGAAGACTCACTACAAAAGACAATAATACTAGAACAAGTTGAAGGTAGTAAGGAAAGAAAAGTGAATGTAAAAATGACTGCCTCAGGTCTTGTGACTAAATCCATAGCATTTATTTGCAAGACCTGAGGAAACTATTAATTATAGGACTTTTTGGAGGCCATTAATTCATAGGGTCACTATAAGTCAGAAGCAATTGACAGCATGAAACAACAAAAAGTTAAGATTTATCACAGGTTAAGTCTACGTGGTTTGACCTTAGCAGAATTCATAGTCCCATATTAAGGTTCATGGCCTTTGTAAGTTATCAGTTGCTAATTCTTCCTTGCTGCATCTCAGTTCTTTGAATTTCTGTACATTCAGGACCCATTTTTGAGTAATAGTTCTTGAAGGATGCTCTTTATATGTAGTACTCTGTCTTCAGGTGCTTGGATATATGCAGTTAACTGGTTAACTAAGATAGATTTATAGATAAATTTCTTTTATATTTTATTTTGAGGCAAATGCAACTGTATATTAGTCATGGTTTATAAAGGGAGTTTTGAACTGCTGTCAGTCAGATATTAATCCTACATCTTACACGGTTGTGTTTTGCTTTTGATTCTGAGAGGAGTTTCAAAAGCAGTTGTGATATGGCTTGAACACTTGTTCTAAGAGGAGAAGGGGAAAATTCCAAGACTGTCATCTTTACAGTAGCTCTTGTAATTCCAGGTGCTTCCGTCTTTATCTTTTAACACTTCATTTCATTCCTAGCTTCCATGATGTTCCAGTACTTTGTAAAAGTGGTCCCTACAGTGTATATGAAGGTTGATGGTGAGGTACGTAAGAGCCAGTTGCTTCCTTTTTTAAGTGCTGCTAGCATATATTTTTTAAATGTACAACAGTGCTATCCATATTATCGCAGTGTCTCTAACTGTGTTTGGGCTGACACGGCCGGAAGCACAGAAAACAATTACCGTATTTTTCCATTTATAACGCACCTCCATTTATAAGACACACACCCCTAATTTCTTAACCCAAAAATTAAGAAAACAGCTTTGAGGATTCAGCCTCTTGGCTCAGAACATTGGATATTTTGAGTCTCTGTTGAATCTGAACCTACAGACTCCACCTCCAAGGAGGTGTGTTCCAATTGGTTTGTTCAGGATCAGCTGACATCAGTTCCATAAGGCTTGTGACTGGAGTAAGCTAAGTCTCCTGACTGTAAGAAATGAAGCCTCGTGACTTAAGGAAGCCTGTTTACAGAGGCAAGGTACAGGCCGTTTTATTCTCTCCTCAGCTGTCTCAGCTTACTTCTGTGTAAAAGATGGCCCTCAATTTTTAGTGTAATGAGTTTAGGAAAAAGTAGATGGAAAAATACGGGACCAGAATTTCTATTTTCAGTAATGTCATGGTGTTTGCTAAACTATAGATCATGGCCACACTGGAGTTCCTGGAAGAGAGGAATTGAGTTATACGTTCATATTGCTAAGAGCCCAGTGTCCTCAAGCTACAGAGAGTAGGATAAAGCAGAAGTGTCAAGGAGTTGTTTGGGACAGAATAAATCATGTGAGGTATCCTGTGGCAGCTGGGCAGGATGGGTCAGTGAATATGGACAAGAGAGAGAAAACATTAGATGGTGCTTCTAGCTGGAAGAGAATGCAGAGTAGATGATAAACATTCCAAAGGACATATAGTTGACATTGCATCTTGGTGCTACTCTTTTTGTGAAACTCTCTTCCATACTTGTGTTTCTCTAGGTGGTGAGGACAAATCAGTTTTCAGTAACAAGGCATGAGAAAATAGCTAATGGGCTAATTGGAGACCAGGGTCTACCTGGTGTATTTGTGTTGTATGAGCTTTCTCCAATGATGGTGAAACTAACAGAAAAACACAGGTGAGTGGTTTTCTCATGACCTTTACCAATGAAGGAAACCCCAGCCTACTCATGCCAAATTAAATTGCATTTATTTTAAACTCAACTATAAAATGTGTCTCTTACATGTTCATTGCATGATGCATATTTTCAACCTGGTTTTAGAATTGTTTCTTGAAGACTTGTATTTCGAGCAGTTTGATTCTGTATAAGACTACCTACCTGTTCAGTCAGGTACCAGAGTGTTCATTAACCATGGCCAATTGATTTTTTAAAGTCTCCAAACAAGCCCCAAGATAAGGAAAAGACAATGTGCAATGGAATTAAAAGTTTCATTTAATATAGTCATATGATTTTTTTCTTATTTAGGTCCTTTACACATTTTCTCACAGGAGTATGTGCCATTATTGGAGGAGTATTTACAGGTACTAGATTTGTATTTTGTTGACTTGAACTGTTTGTTTAATCTTCTCAGAGCTAAAGTTTAATTTGCAAATGCTTTGATCAGTACATAATCCTTTAGAGGCATTTTCAAATCTGAAAACTTACTAATTTACAAAGAAAGTAGTTGTCACTAATATTAGGAAAAAGTCCTAAGAAATGTTAAACTGTGTGTAAAAATAAATAGATGTATTGTTATATAAGCATCATTCACTTCCTTTTGTGTTCTCAAAAAGAGTTTCTTGCAAATATTGTGAGTAGTATATTTCACTTTTGCTATGCCATTTTTAAGTGTCCAGTTTTAACAAACTTAGGAAACATTTCTTATGCCTGCAGAGCAGATTTCCTGGGGAGGATAAGGATTATGCTTGTTTCTTTTGTTGTAGCAACCCTGCCCATTAAATTATTTCTTCTTGGTTTGTATATCGAACACCTGGCCTGACTCTTCTCCTCTTTCTAGTTGCAGGACTCATTGACTCTTTAATCTATCATTCTGCTCGGGCTATTCAGAAGAAAATAGAGCTTGGGAAAACAACGTAAATTAATAGCCGTATTCCCCATGAAGAAACATGAAGGAATTGAAAACAGCAATGTCGATGTCTGATAGTGTGCCAAGAGAAGAGGCTTGGAAGGGTCAAGCAACACTGACAATAATTCCTTTCTGAAGACTAGGGAAAGAGGGCATTAAATTAAGTATCCATCTTTTGTGGCAGTTTAAGCAGTTCTGTAGAACATAGATTTCAGCACCTGTCTTATCTGTTGGCATATCTCTCAACTTTTGGATTCTGAAGAGCAGTGACCTCCGGAATATGGCGTACAAGACCTTTTACATGTGGAAAGCTAATATTTTATATTTAATTTGTACCCAGTGATACCCCTATGATGTGTGATTGAAGCAGTTTCTCAGGAAAAAGTTTTAATAAAGTCAGTCAATATTTGTGATTTTCCCCCCACTTGCCCATCACTACTATGCATCCATCTTTGAAATTTTTCCTTAGCAGATTCTCACTTATCAGCTCTTTGGCTTGGTCTTCTACAGAACTGGTGGTGCAGCTTTTGTCCCGAAAAAGAATTGTCAATTCTTAATGATTCTCTTTTAAAACAAGGTGCAGCTGACCCTCACATTTGTTTTCCTTCAGAACCAGAAGTGGACTTATGGGTATCAGTTTTGAGTGTTGTCAGCAGAGGGTGCTACAGTAAAGAATGAGCTCCTGTGCTCATAGAGCTTTGCCCATCCTGTTTGATCTTCATGTATACCTTAGGAACATAAGAAGCTGCATTATACCGAGAACAATTAGTCCATCTGGCCCAGTACAGTCAACATTAACTTTTGTTGGCTCTTTAGGTTTTCATGCAAGAGTATTTTTCCAGTTTTCCCTGAAGAAGAATTTGGGCCTTTATGTGCACCCTATGTGCTCTGCCTCTGAGCTACAGCTACAGAGTCATGTCTCTAGACATCAGTATCTTTTAACAAAGAAGTACATGAATAAAATACATTTTGATCCTTAAGAATTACAGAGGGAAAAGAATTATGATTTAATTAGTTGACCTTCCAGTTGGTATAAACATTCCTGTTTTAATTCTGTATTCTGCCAACATCTTAAATATTCCCTGACCAGATACCTCGCCCCATCTGTCTCGCATATAAAACTAGCTGGCGCTCTCTATGAGGAGAGTGACCAGAGTGCCTCATTGTAGCAATACAGGCTAGGTATCTGGGACTGAAAATATTCATGGAGAGGTAACACAATAGGGTAGTACCCCACCCAGATTTGGTGTATTGTGTGCCATATTTATACATGGAGAGAGGTTTTTTTAAAGGTTGTTGTGGGTTTTTTGGGCTCTTTGGCAGTGTTCTGAAGGTTCTTCCTAACATTTCGCCAGCCTCTGTGGCCGGCATCTTCAGAGGACACCACTGTCTACTTCAGAGCACAGAGTGCTGTCCTCTGAAGATGCTGGCCACAGAGACTGGCGAATAAATGCTCAACTCCCAAACAAACTGCACCAGAGCACAGAGTGCTGTCCTCTGAAGATGCCGGCCACAGAGACTGGTGAAACGTTAGGAAGAACAACCTTCACAACATGGCCTAAGAGCCCGAAAAACCCACAACAACCATTCGATCCCGGCTGTGAAAGCCTTCGCGAATACGTTTTTTAAAACATTTTTGTAGTCCACCCCTAGATACACTGGGTTATTCCATGGATTTCTGCAGAAGACTGAGTAGGCTTACGGTTGCAAATTTATATGTAAACCCAGGTATGCATTGGCATTAAAACATGAATAAGTAAGGAAACTTAAGTTGAGAGCAGAGTTAGGATACTATATCTTTGTACTGAATAAAAAAACACATTTTTCTGTAAATCAGGCAGAATTTTCTTCATAGCTGGGCTTGCTTCTTCCATGTATGTTCAGATATTTAAATCTTTAAAAATAACTTTGAGGTAATAGTTCTCAATTCTAATTCTCCACTGTCTACTTCAAAATAGGGGGGGGGGGGGTTGGGGGGGTCATGCAGGCTCACATACTAGTATTGTGCAAATCAAGACAGATGCATAATTCATTTTATTAACTAGTCTCCCCATTCTGGTGCAATGGGCATGCCTGGGTTTGTGAGTAAAGCTTTGTAAAGCTCAGTCTAACATTTGTCAGCTTTCACTTCATACCTGGTTCAAGATTTGTCCTGTTCTGATATTTCAGCTTGAGGATAACAAAAACTAAAAATTGTATCTTGCATAAATACTTATATTAATCAAAGTCACCTAGATTTCCAACTTTGGGATAAATTTATTAAGTGTGGGACCAAGTATAGATATGACCAGTTGTTTTGCAACCTTTCCATGAACGACCTGTACTGACCTGAAAATACAGTGGGGCTCTGCAGATCAGAGTGTAAGACCCTCAGAGGTAGCACACTGAGGAGTAATCCAAAAGAATTGCTTGGCCACTGTTGGGTTGCACAAGATTCCCATCCAGTTATAGTTCCATTTTCTGTGAAGCCCAAACAGATAACCCCAGTCCTCATGTGCAACATATTTTAGGGGAGCCCCACTGTTGTAGTCCAGTGTGATATGCACACAAATAAAATGAGTTCTCTCAAAAAGAATTGGCAAGCCCTGGCATGCAGTATAAATCATGTGGGATACTCCTGCAAGCTAACTGTAAAATAACACTTTGCCTTCAGCTGCTAGTCTTTTGATGAGCCCAAATTCAAAATCGGCATCATGCACCCGAGTCTTGCGGAATGCTCCAGCATAGTGGTTCTCTTCCCAGTAGTGATGCCAGTTCCCGTTGTTGTCTGCACCAAAACCAAATGCAGAGACCTGGTGCATATAAAATGACAGAAAGATCAGAAAGGCCAAGACAGATTTCTGCAAACTTAATCAATTATGAAACATATTGTTCTGTGTCACAGTCCAATGTTCACTGAAATAACTGGTTAATACAAATTGTTCTCCCAGTTCTGGCACACAGTTAAGTTTTGAGTTGTTTGGATTTTGGTGGCAAATTTAGCAAGGCTCATTTTTCTTTAGCCAAATTAACACAAATCTGGCCTATACCAAATGGATGCTGTTGCTGTAAAAACACTCATTTAATAGTCTGGGGTTATTTGTTTTTGTGCAGTATACATGAGTAAATTGTGGACAGAATTTGTTTTTGTTTTTTGTTATTTTGCGCACTTGTGATACTGACCAAAAACAATCTGTAAAATTAGCTATCTGGTTTCAAAGGATGAGGGACACTGTTTTCTGAAGCGCAATGCTTTAATTTTTTCCCCCATTTACCATTCTGTCATCAGACTGACTCTGGAAAAAAAAAAAGCTTGTTTTGGAAACCTAACCTAAGGAAAGACCCCATGGCGTAGTGGATGCCTGATCTTGTTAAGATTTGGGGTGTGGGAGATGGTTTCGAGACAATTCAGTCTTCCAGGTTGACAGCAAAAAGACTCTCAGAGACGGTAGGTTCCTTCATCAGCGGTGTATTTACAGACTATGTATGATGAAATTACATCAGTCAATAGACTTAATAAAGTAAATAAAGAGCACCTCGTGCAGCAACTCTCCAACATAACACTCCACACAGCACCATAGTATGCAGCACTTACATAGTTTGAACAACCAATCACTGGCACATTACCTACTGTCTCCTAGACATTACATCATGCCCAATACACATTTCAAGGATTGTATCAGCTACATGTGCTGACCTTGAGGCCGCACACCTGTTATAAAATGGATCATTGCTAGAACACTGGTTCATGTACTAAGAATAAATTCTTTATTGTGGTTCATAATATCCTGACAGTACCTAAGAACGAACCAAACCATCATTTTACGACAACAAACCTTCTAACTCTCCTCACTTCTCTGTTCTCAGCCAGAACAGTGGTTATTTCCTGATATAATTGAATGTTAGATCAACTGAGAAAGCTACAGCTTTGAATATCTGCTGGTTTGCTCCCTTCTCCCATCACAAATGGGACAAGAGTATCCTACAAATCAGGCCTGTTCTTACCCTGTCTGTTTCCGCATCTCTCCCTCTCCCCCAGCTTTTGTAACAACATGCCTGACAGTTGTGCCCCTGAAAGCTTGCAATTTTGTGCATTTTTTAAAAAATGGCCTTAAAAGTATTGTACTAAGGAATTTGGATTTTAAAAGAAGTACAGTAGTTTGATAATCGTGTTCTGCTTCATAGCGAGCTTATTACAGAGATAAGACGCCGCCATTGTTACTACATACCTGTGTACAAATATGAATGGCAAAAATGAGAGCAGTGAATCCAGTGGATGGATACCTTCCATGCTGCTTAGTCCATTTATCCTGGATATATTTCAGAAAGCCAGGGTGTATTATTAGGACCTGTGCAGAAGAAAAATATTTGAGAGACTTTTCATATATATTGGGACAGAAACTCCCTCAGATTGTTCAGTTTAGAGTTGATGACGCAAAGATGATGTGACCAGGACACACTCCACTGGCCTTAATACAAACAGAAACCAGCTTTGGCTTGATTGAACTCATTTCCCTTGAAATGACAGCTGAGGGAGTCAGGTTATGATACCAGTCCCCACTAGTATCTTTGGTTATCTGCACAGCCAAGGAATTGTTTTTTCGAAATTTTAAATGCACAAATCTGTTCCTTTTAGAAAATATCAGAAAGGGTGTCCTGCTATTCAGGTCTTGACTCCTGCTCTTTCCCTACAAGTAGGCCTCTAGCTAAAATTTATGGGATAAAAATTAAGCTGTGTAACAGAGACCATTGGGAGCAATATACAGCTGACCTAATTTACCACCTTACCTTGCTTTTGTCTGCTTCAATGAATTGTCGGACTCTTTTGTATGTGCTGTGAAAGGAATTAAAGACTTTTAGTATTCACTGTTTCTTCATCTTCTCATCTGCCACAATCTGTCTCCCATTTGCTTCTCCTCTAATGACAGGTATACTGCATAAAGCCAATTTTTAGGGAAGGGGAAGGGGGGGGAAGGAAAGGAGAAAGGAAAGGAAGCAGGCGATAGTGATTGATTGCTGACCACCATGCCCTTTTAAACAGCTTTCTCTATGCCAAAGCTCAAATCCAAGGCTTATGTCACTGGGAGAATGTGTTCACAGCATCACCCGAAAAGAGTTCAATAATCTACATGAAGAACCTAAAAATCACCAAGGAACAAATTAGCCCCTTCCAAAGGTATTCTGTTTTTCACCAGTTTTTAAACAAGTTGGCAGGAAATGGAACCAGCCTTCTACGGGGTTCTATTTAAGACAACTAGACGCCTGAAGTTACGTTATAACCTTGTTTTTGCCTAAGTTTTTATATTCTAGATGGTGGCCAAGATACTCACTATTTTATGTCCCCTGAGGAAAAGATACTGGCCAGCCATTTCAGATCCAGAGGTTTGAAGGGTAGCAGCACAAGGTGGGAGCCAGGACTGAGGTTCACTGCACTCTCTGGGTAGATAAAACGGTGAGTGGTTCTTGTACCAACATCCACTTCAAAGCCTTTAGTTGGTGCTGTGTTGATCCTCAAAAGACGCAAAAACAAGCTGTTAGATACCTTCGGACAAGATACAAGAACAGATGCAGAGTAACAGTAGGATTTGATCTAATGGGTTTTAGGTACCTCCTCCTTTTCAACATTATGATAGAGTTTTTGCTGGATTGACTAACTAGACATGTTTAATTACAAGGTACAAAAATGAATTGGCATATAATTAGAGCACAAGCAAGCCATCATGTACAAAGTCTTCAAGGGATGGACAGTATCTCCCTATTTATTGATTTATTTTATTTATATCCCTCTTTTCTCCCACTTCATACAGCAGCTTAAAAAAGTACCTATAGGTAAAATTGCAACACATTTAAAAAATAATATTAAAATATATTGAAACTTATAACAATATTAAAAACAGAACAAGTTTAAAACAAACCTAAAGCCTGTTATAAAAATAAAATATGCAGCATCCCCCATTAGAAACTCCAATGCTGTTAGGGCAATTCAGAAATCAGTTCAAAAAGGAAAGTTTTCAACTGCCAGAGGAAAGATCCGACAACCTAGACTCCTGTGGGACAGAATTCCTTAGACTTGGAGCAGCCACCAAAGATCCCCTCACTCAAGATCCTTACCAAACAAGTCTGTATTGTCAGCAAGAGAAAGAGAAGGCCCTCCCTTGATGATCTGTGTCGATTATATGAGGAGATACTGTCTCCTGCCGTATTAACCTCCACCCATTTTTCTTTTCTGAACATCCAGCCTATGCAGGAGTCCTATTGCAGTCTGCTTCCAGCTTGCTAAATAAATTTTGGTCAACAGAAAACATGGTATGGTTTCTACATTTATATTTCACACATTCATATTTTTTAAACCTGTGTGGCCAACGCAGCTGTGACCTACTGAGGATGCACTTTGTTCCATCTCTTCACCCATGATCACATCATTTGAGAGCATGCTTTCTGCAATAATACTTACATTTGCTGAAACCCACATAGCCAAGGTCAGAGCTGTTTGCTTTCATTATAAGGAGCTCAACATACACACTGAGGCTCTCACACATAAAATTTTTGCAACAGTGCCACACTTCCAAAAGATGGTTACCTCACCTGCCAATATTTCTTGTGTTTGGGAGATAACCAAGGCCAAAGTTTTGCAGGGTCACACCACATTGTGTAAGTGACCGTTCCAAAAGATGGTTACCTCACCTGCCAATATTTCTTGTGTTTGGGAGATAACCCAGGCCAAAGTTTTTCAGGGTCACATCACATTGTGTAAGTGACCGTTCTTAACCAATATTACCTTTTTCATACAAAAAATCATGCCAAAGCTTCACAGCATTTTGCAGGTCTCTACCCACAGCTGTCTAACTGACATAAAGAGTGTGGAGAGTACTATTGCAGCTGAAGTTGCCTACCAGTGGATGTGCTGAGTTCCACTTACCTCAGCACAAACTGGTGAGAATCAATCTTTTCCCCGTATTTTGAACCTCTCAGTCTTCCTGAGTTCCCCACAACTGCACACATCCCACACTGGGCAACATCCTGGACTCGATCAGTGAGAGATGGAAGAATATCAAAGAGGTGTTTCATTATCTCCTGGACTTGGCTCCCATCCTGTGATCTTTGCAGCTTCTAGTGGGACAAAACAAAAAGCATGATGGGGGAAATCGCATGTGTTTTCCAGCAGTATGTTCCCAGCACAGTACCTTGGCTACTGGACTGGTACACAGTGGGTCCTCATATATAAACAGAATGGGCAAAACAAGGCATCTTTGATAGCATAGTTTGTGATTTGCAAATCTACAGGATATAGCTCTATAATTCTAAGGTTATTATTACAACAAAATGTGGATAACATCTAACTAGAATGGCCAATGTCTTCTGTAAGAGCAGTTTCAATGTCTATAAAGGTAATGAACATTAACACATTGTTAAGACGCTGTTAGGCTCCTCAGTTTTCATGCAGTATTTTCTTCTAGCCCCACCTGGTATCTCAACCAGGTCTGACTCTGCTTAGCTTTCAAAATCAGGCAATATTGTGTATTTTCAGGGTCTTAAAGCATTCATAGATGTTCATTTGTATAGCACAGGTGCCCATGCAAAGTTTTCCTAAAGTTCAGAATATGGCAAACACACCGCATCAGTTGGTGTGGAAGAATGAAACTGTTTTGCTGTCTGCTAAGTTGCCTGAATGACAAGCTTGCAATACTTTGAAGGCAGAACAGCAGGAAATACATAAATGTTGTCTGCATCTTTGCTTTCTTTGTAGCTGGCAAGAGAAGCAAACAGCTGAAAGGATACTGGTTGTCATTCTAAATTAATCACATCCAGTGACTGTGTGCTTCTTACCATTAAGTGTGTCTGCCTGATCTTGCTGCTTTGATTTTGTGTAATACATTTAATATCCATTTATTGCTTACGTAAAAATGCATTATAAAATGTATTTTAATTGCAGTTATTTGAACACCATAGCATCTGCCATTTGTGTTTGTGCTAGGACCATATATGAACATAATTTCCTGTTTTTCAAAGTCATGTTATCCCATGATGGAAATGTATATAAGACATTCAAAAATTCAGCTTCGCCATTACTGTGGGGTTAAAAGGACTGAAGTAGACTCACATTTTTACATGCTTTTGAACTGCTATGTTGGCAGGAGCTGGGACAAGCAAAAGGAACTCACTCCATCATGTTGATTCAATCGTACGACTGCTGGTCTTACGACCTTGCAGCACAGAGGCTTCTGCATTTTAACTCAAAGCACCACCACGTCCCTTTAATTACTACAACTAGTCCTTTGGAAATCATTGGAGTGCTGCACTTCTATCTGTGCTCAACATGGGTACCAGAACTCAAATACTGCAAAACAGTAATAGAAAGGTAAAGAAAGAAAGGTATATGGAAAGAAATAATTGAAAGATAAACACTATTTTCCTCTCTCCAAGAGGGCATTTTTTTGTCAAGGGTAGTTTTTTTAAGTTGCAGAAGAGAGAAGTATTTTGGCATTGTTTTGTAGATTCTAAAGTATTTTGTCAATAATGTAGTGCAATACTCACCAGCCACCAGTGCAGGATTGTTGGGGAGATCTGTTGGGTTTCAGGAGTTAGCAGGCAGCTTACTGAGCCATCAAAGTTATCACAGAACCAATTCTGGTTTGTAAGATCCAGGCACCTATTACAGTTACAAGGTCTTCTCTCTAAGAGGGAATATGTGAATGGCTGTTCTTCAGGGCTATATGAAGAAGATACGGAGCTTGTATACACAGATGTGTACATCTTCCAAATGGAAGCCACAAGGCCTAGAGTCATAATGCTCCAAATTTTTTTCTTACCCACCATTTTTCACTCCATGTATTGGTTTGAATCTTCTGGATAAGAGTGTAGGTGTAAAGTAGACAATCTAATTCCTGTAACTTGAAGTAATGGTGGCTGTGCTTCTTTGTTATATTGTACTTTAAAAACAGAATAATGAAAAATAACTCTTCCCAGAGGTCACACAGTCATGTTGTATACTGTGTTTTTCCCACCATATGGAATCTCTGCTTTGTGAATCTTCCGTTCATATGTGATGACGAACTGCTCCAGCACTATCTGCATCTTGCAGCTTAGCAGCTCAGATAATAAGTTTTAAAAAAAGGCAACATTCAGTTTCTGCTAACACATGTGACTTCTGTTTTGTGGCTATCAGCTTCCGTTAAGTTCTCATGTCTCCAAAATGCTGAAACACATAGAATGTCCTGTATCAGTACTGACTACAGATAAAGAAAAGAAATGTACATAGCATGATGACATCCTTATTTATGCTACCTTAATTTAGACATCAATAAGGAGATTAAAAAGTAAATTTAACACTTCTTTTCCAGGGGAGTAGCTGTAATATTGCAGCACAGCAAAGGCAAAGAAGGGTATTTGATCATGTTGGAATTTTACTTACCATAGTTTTGCTAAATGATAAAGTGCAGTCTAGTCTATAAGAGATTCTTTCTTATTATAGAGACTGTTTTGATTGCCTTGGGTAGTCAAACACTGTCTAGTCAACACTGGAAACTGGACAGAGTGAGTGTGTCCCAGTTATTCAGTTAAACCCCCTGGCAACCCTCATAGCATCTTTCTGAAGCTTCTGTCTGATATGGGACCTGGAGGTATTGTTTTATGATGGCTGTAGTCCTCCTTGATGGGTTGATTTCAGAAGGTGGCACTTTTCATTCATTCATTCATTAGTAATATTCTCTCTAGCATGCATATGGATGCACATGAGTTCATTCATTCATTCATTCATTCATTAGTAATGTTTTCTCTAGCATGCATGTGGATGCACATGAACAGAGAGAGAGAGAGAGAGAGAATGAAACAAAATATCAAATTATGCTGCAACCATATTTGTAAAATCAATAGCAATGACCATCAAATTAACTTGTATGGGACTGAGATGCAGATCTGAAGGAAAAATTAGCAATGTACTTTTTAGTTCTGACTTCTCAACAGATTTACATCAAGATCCAACACTGATGAAACAGTTTTGAACAGAAATGTGAAGAGACCAAGGAAAAGCAAAGAAAGAGAAAGGCATTCCATCATACTGGCCTTACAGAAGCAGCAGGCATATGAAGATTGAATCCTACTGATAGCAATACATTTCTGATGTACAAAATATGGTATCCAGATGTTACAGAATGGGAAGCACAAAAATCAAATAGAAAAAAAAAGAATTAAGATCATGGTGTAGATCAATAGGAAAGAGAAGAAAGAAGAAGGGGAGAGACTGTGGTGTTTACAGCAATGAGAGGAAATGCATAATGAAAGGAGCAACCTTCTGCACATTTACCTAGAAATAAGCTCCACTGAATTCAGTGTGATTTATAAAACATGGGTCTGTTTTGGCTGCAACTGTCAAAGAAGGAAACGTAAGAAAATACATGGTAAAACAAAGGGAAGCAAAAGGAAAGGGGAACAAACTATATGCATTTTTGGTTGATGACTCATAGCCTGCCTCCTTAGATTAAAAAAAAGGTGGGTTATGCTGTCTTCCATTTCACTAGGCACTTTGGAACCGCTGGTCTAGCAGAAGGGAGGAGTAGGGAGGTGAGAGTGGCAGACTGGTTAAGGCTGTGGATCCCAGCTTTGGATCCCCAGATACTCTTCAACTAAAACTTCCAGAAGCCTGCATCACTAGCTGGATTTCTGGGAGTTGTTGTTCAGTAACATCTGGGGACCCAAAGATGGGAACCACTGGATTAAGGGATGGTTCTCATTCATTAACTGTCTGTCAGGGAACAGAAATATAACATTGGGAAATGGAGGGAAATCGTGCTTGCTCCTCTTTTGCTGCTGTTCAGGGCTGACCAAAGAGACCTTGTTCTCTGCCATGGAGAAGTTACACCTCCCACTCCTTCCACCTACACAAACTGACCAAGCTAGCAGATGGGATCTTCCACTGACCTTGACAATGGGGCACCATTCTTGACTGCACTGGAGAGCTGCAAAGAATAGGGACTTCAGAACAAAGTACACACAGAATTTTGTCCCACAGCATTTCCTTGTCCACACCTCACACTGTCCTGAGATGGGAAGCACAACTTGCCTAATGTTAGGGCTGGTTTTGCTGCCCACCAGCAGGAGTTAATCTTCTAGAGCTGGTCAACCATCCCTCAAGCCAGCACTCCTTTCCCTGGGAGGGAGCTGATGCTGTCAGAGCCTATGTGACACCCAGAAAAATGTAGCCATCCAGAAGACTATGATTAGCAGGTGATTTAAAGCACAGTAAATAAATAAATGGGTCTCTACAAATCTGTTGTTGGGTGAAAGAAGCAAGAAGGTGCTATGACACTCATGACCTGCTTGTGACCTTCCTATAAGTATCTGATTGGCCACCATGGCAACAGGACACATAATCAGATGGTCCAAAACAAGTTTGATCTTGTCAAGATGTGAATTTTTTCGGCATGTTCATTAAAATAATTAAGAGGGGTGCAGAAAAAGCAGTCCTAGAAATCTACATTGCACTTTTTATAATGAGGTTTGAATTGCAGTTTACTAAAAGTTACTGTGAAATAATTAGACCTCTTTCCATCTGAACTTGGGAATAAGGTCATTGTACATAAACACTGCCTTGCAAAGGAATTTCATTCCTGGCTGACAGCTCATCATGGACATGAAAAAAAAGATAGAATTTAAAGTGTATTGAAATAAGTAGAACGTATTTATGTTGCAATGTGTTAATATGACTGGAGATGGCATTTGGAGGTCCTATAACCTGCACCCACTGTAACTACTGTAATCTGATTTTATTGTACCTTGGTTTACTATGTGCTTTATTTTACAAGCCTTTGTTCCTCCAGGCTTTGTGAATTTCAGTCACAACAGTGATTCTGAGGTACAAGCTCTTGTAGTTACTGGCGGTGAAGAAACAATAGAGATTTCTATTAAAATTTTCTGCTGTGTATAACTTACAGGCCCTGAAAAAGAGATTGTTGACAGATTGCAGGTTGGAGGTGTGACAAACCCAGACCTACTGGGATCTGCCACACGTTAACTAAGCTGCCACCAACCATTCCCTATAAGAAGTCACACAGACCAGGGATGGATTTTTAACCAATAAAAGAATAAGGTTTATTTAAATACAACACACAGGGAAAATAAAATGATCAGGTGAATAAGATAAAGTAACGTGGCTTATTCTCATTCATACATGCATACAGTTTGGTTCACACAGAACCCTTAACTTGAAGCACAGACCCTGAACCTATCAGTTCTGGCTAACCAACAGACACCTGAACCTATCAGGTTGGTACTCTGACACACAGTAGTACCCTGTCTGACACACAGACTCCCACACCAGCTTCTTCTTCCCAGCTGCTGCTTCTTCCTTCCCAGCGTCTGCTTCGTCACATCCCAGCGTCTACACACAGGCTTCACCTATATATACAGTACAGCCCCTCCTCCTGATGTCCCGCCTTCCACTCCCCATAGGATGGAACTTTCCCTCCAAACACATGACAGACAGGTAACATCAGTGCTATATGTAACACCTCCCCTCTTTATAAGTTGTTTTGTAGGGGGAAAGCTAACGTGCTTTTTCCCAAAAAACAACCTGGATAAAACACACAACAACAGTTATACATACCATATCATACTTACTTATACTTACATTCTAAGTTAACCATATCAATTAGGCATTTAAACATTTACCATATACATTACATCAATTTACCTTTATTCATACAAACCAAGTTCAAAAAACAGGTACATTTAACTTTTTGTCATCAATATATATACATAGTCCATGTTTCTTTCGCCGTCTTCAATCTTCAGGTCTTCTTGACAAGGCGTCAGCAACACAGTTCACTGACCCTCTGACCACCTTCACTTCAAAGTCATAGTCCTGTAGGTTTAGAGCCCACCTCATAAGTTTGCTATTGTGGGTTTTCATTGTCTTTAACCATTGCAGTGGTGAATGGTCAGTGCACAGAACAAAATGTCTTCCCCAGATGTAAGGCTTGGCCTTCTGGATCGCGTAGACTATGGCCAAACACTCCTTCTCCACGGTTGCCAAATGTCTCTCACCTTTTTGAAGTTTCCTACTCAGGTAGGACACTGGATGCTGGTCACCATTCTCATCCTCCTGGCACAGAACTGCTCCTACCCCGCTGTTAGACGCATCGGTGTAGATGATGAACTCCCGGTCGAAGTCTGGAGCACGCAGGACAGGATAGTTGATTAACGCCTCCTTCAACCTCTGGAACGCCGCCTCACAGTCGCTGGTCCACGGGATGCGGTCATCAGCCGTCTTCCTCGTCAGATCGGTCAGCGGAGCCGCAATCTCGCTAAACCTCGGGATGAACTTTCTGTAGTAGCCCACCAACCCAAGAAATGATTTGACCTTTTTCTTGGTGTTGGGTCTAGGCCAATCACGAACAGCTTCTATTTTGGCCTCCAGGGGTTTTATCACTCCTCCCCCTACCACGTGACCCAAGTCTTTTATTTCTGGGATACCCAGCTGCAGTCTGTTCTCTCTGCAGAGCCTAGGCCAAAGCACTTCCTCCCCTGGGTTAAAGCGCCTCTCCCTGCCTTCCTGGTCATCCCAAACCTTCCTTATATATATACAGTACAGCCCCTCCTCCTGATGTCCCGCCTTCCACTCCCCATAGGATGGAACTTTCCCTCCAAACACATGACAGACAGGTAACATCAGTGCTGTATGTAACAGGAGGTATGGCCATCTGAGATCAATATAAATATAAGGAGCTACACACAGAGCAACATTCAACTCATCAACACAGCAAGGCAACGCACCACATACACCAGATGCCAACAACAATCATGTAACAACAACAACAACAACTTCACTAGACAAAGACAACATGGATTTTCCTCCACAGAATCAAACTGGTTTGCCTTGGTGAGCATTTAGATTTATTTTGTGTATATTCTTAATATGCTTAGAGGGTAACAAAGTTATTTTCTTTAATATATTTCTCTTATGAAGAACTTTGATATATTTAGAGATCCATTCTTTTTTATTGTGCCTTTTAAGGCTGTAAGCACATTTTTAGAATGTAATTAGAACATTTTCTTTAGTATTTTATTGTACTTTTTATGCTCCTGTATTTTGGATTAAATTCTGACTTAAATATTTGCCTGCAACTTAAATTTAGTCTTCATATATTTTTAAGCATTTGTACCTACAGTTTTCCATAGCTGTAAAACTTGGATGTTTTCAATATTTAGGATTTTATTTTGTGCACATGGAAAATAGAAGCAATATAGATAAATAAAGCTTGTAGAATTAGAGAAGTTGATGTTGCCTGGAATTACTGCAACAATGAAAAGTCTTTGATATCCAAATGGATGTTGATATTATTAGGAATGGTTTGATTTCATTCTTGATTTAATTCTTAATTGCCATACATGCTAGCTGTGATGAACACAGGCTTCTGATTCCCCCCCTCCAAAGGTCTATAAAGTTCTTGCTCATTTAATACTGCACAATGGCAAGTTGCTTTAAACACTTCCCCCACAAAGGACTTTATGTTTTATGGCTACTGTGCTGAATGCCACCACTTTCAAAGGAGTTTTTTATACAGCAAGGGAGGAAAGGGTTAAATTCCCCAGCTGCATTTCTAGTCATTATTATTTGCTCCCAGGCCCCTTCAGTGCTTTTTGCATTTGAGAAAACTACACATTAAATGAAACCCTTTTAAAAATGTACCTATTTTTACTTAGACATCCGTTCTCTTTCATTTTTAAGCCAATGGGTGTATTAATATGCCAGCTAAAAATTGTATGGCTGGACCTCAGTTAGCTAATGCGCGTTGCAAGATATCTCACAAACATTCAAATTTAGTTTATGAACCCGCAGAAGGAACTGAAGAGTATGCCTCTAAGCCACATCCATATGGCAAAAAACATGACACTTCTGGAGTATGACATTGAATTAAAGACATAATATTTCCACACCTTGTTTCCATTCAGTTACTTTTTTGGACTACAAGTCCCCAAAGCCACAATCCAGCATGGTTACCAGCTATGTTGATTGGGGATTCTGTGGAATCAAATAAAAAGTTAACAGTTCAAGGAGACTTACTTTTACTCCTGTGGTCACTCCTATGGTCATAAAAACATCATTGCTCGGTGGCAGGGAGAATGTGACATTTATAGAAGTCTACGGAGATGCTTCAGAGCAGAACGGGCCCCAATATTCACGTGAGGACACCATAGGTAGATATGGACATCTGATCACATATATTACGTTGAGTGTTGGTACAGGAGACCCCCCCTCATTTGATGGCTTGTTAGAACTTACCTTTCTTGAATATGGACACTCACACTGCCTGGGTTGAGTAAACAGGTAGACAAACTAGAATTTTCCTCCTAGGTGAATCTTGGTTGCACTCCATATCACAACGAAGAATTGTTTAATCTACATTGTTTGTAGGCTGAATGTGACTCATTTTGAACAGGAACTTATCAAACTAAAGGGGAAGTTAACGCAATACCAACAGCACTAGTCACAGTTTGCGGAGTTTAGAATAAAACTGCCTTGTTAAAGACACAGAAAGGAAAACACTTCCTGCAGCGCTCTTTACAGTGACTTCCTGTATCTGACCACAGATGTCACACATCGAACAGATGGTTTGTGATTAAGGGGTTCGTCAGATAAGACATGGATTCTGCATCAAGAAGCAGTGCCCTCTTAAAAGAAAAAGGGCTATTTGTACCAACACAGGGGGTGCCATGTAGAGTTTGAGGCCGTAGAATAAGCAAAAACACCCCAAATGCAGCATAAATAGCTGGTTGCATTTTGAATCAAGTGAAATATGGCACTAACCATCCATAGGGCCACCCCACTTTGTAAGACTATTAAGTCCAGATTATAAGCGTTCATATCCCAACATAATACAGTAATTAGGAATACAGTAGTGTGGGTGAATTGATCTTGGCCTTATGGCACTAACCATCCATAGGGCCACCCCAATTTGTAAGACTATTAAATCCAGATTATAAGCATTCATATCCCAACATAATAATTAGGAATACAATAGTGTGAGTGAATTGATCTTGGCCTCTAGTGATACAGCTGTAGTCTCTTTTTGTACTGATGATTGAACTAAGGTATAGAATATTTCTATTTCTTCGTTTCAACAAGAAAATTATGTAATTATTCTGTATACATTATTTTTGTCTTCTTAATGTTCAACTGAAATCTTGCTTTTGCACTTCCTTCTTTATCCTTAATTGGCAATTGTTTCAAGTCATTGCTATTTTCCGTACATAACATGGTGTTGTCTGCATGCCGTAGATTACTGATGCTTTTTTCACTGTAATCTTGCTTTTGCACTTTCTTCTTTATCCTTAATCGGTAATTGTTTCAATAATCGGTAATTGTTTCAAGTCATTGCTATTTGCTGCACATAACATGGTGTTGTCTGCATGCCGTACATTACTGATGCTTTTTTCATCATTCTCCTCCTTTATTTGAATGTAATCTGGCTTTCTATATGTGTTCCACATATAAATTGAGAGGGAAACAAAATGCATCCCTGATCTGGAAGTTGTTTGTTTCTCCATATTGCATCAAGACAATCAAATTTTGAGTACACCCATTTATTTTAGAACATTCTATAGTTTTTCATGATCCACATACAATATAAACTCTTTGATATAATCTGTAAGGCACAGACAGATTTTCTTTTGAAATCCCATGGTGTGCTCCAATAGTCAATGTATATATACAATATGATCTCTAGTTACTCTTCCTTTTCAGCATTCAGCTTGAATGTCTGGCTTTTCTTCTTCTTTCTTTTGGTGCTCCTTATGATATAATCTGTAAGGCACAGACAGATTTTCTTTTGAAATCCCATGGTGTGCTCCAATAGTCAATGTATATATACAATATGATCTCTAGTTACTCTTCCCTTTCAGCATTCAGCTTGAATATCTGGCTTTTTTCTTCTTTCTTTTGGTGTTCCTTATATAGTAAAAGAGATGACTCCATGGAAAAGACCTTGAGTTTAGAAAATATGAAGGCAAGTGGAGAAGGGGATGACAGAGGATGAGATGGTTGGATAGTGTTATCAAAGCAACCAACATGAATTTGACCCAACTGGGACACAATGGAAGACAGGAGGGCCTGGCGTGCTCTGGTCCATGGGGTCACGAAGAGTCAGACACGACTTAATGACTAAACAACAACAACATCATATAGTAAAAGGCTTCTAAAATCTTAAGTATCAGTTTGTTTGCATGGCAAATAATCTATAGTTACTAATATATTTGCCATTCCATTTCTTAAGAATGAAATTTATATCAAACATTTCCAGTCAATGAGTCATTGTTTTCTATATTTGTTGGCATAATCTTGCTAAAATTCTGAGTCAATCTCTGTAGCTTGCAATAACTCTAGAAGTATCTTGTCTATTCCTTCTAATTTATTTCTTATAAATGGTTTGTGACAGCTTTCACATACCTTTGTGAAATTGCCGGGTCTTCACAAAAAGGTTCTTCTTTAAATGAATCTGCCATCTTTGTATTGTTAAGTATAGTTCTATTGTTTCCATCTTGTTTTTACTTTATGCTCGACCAGATAATGTGCTTGTTAATCTTTCCATGTCCATAATCTAGGTTTAAACTGCCCTTTGATTTCTTTGATTTTAGGTAAAAGATCTTTTGTGCTTCCTTGTTTTTGTTGTTATCCTTTTTTCCCAATAATTATATTTATCCTTAGGTGATAGTGGCTGAAAAGTTGCCTTCAGGATTTTGTTATCTTTTACTTTTTATCTGCCGTTAATAATTGCAAGAGTTTAATCTTTACTTTTATCTGCCATTAATAATTGCAAGAGTTTAATCAGCCTTCCATTGAGACCTTTCTTTGCACTACACAAATAGCCTTTTTTTGTATTATTTCCAGATTCTATTTCCCATGTTGTTCACAGTTCTTCTGATTCATGATCAGCTGAACAGAGTAATAAAAATTATGTATTAAGTTCTTTGGGAATGTTAAATTATATTTTTGTGCAGTAGCAGCTAGTCACCATTACTAGTATTAACAACTAGGGATGGGATTTTGGAGTTAACCGGAATGGGGAAAAAACACGAAAGAGCCTCTTTTGTTTTGGGGTTCTTTTGTTGCTTTCCAGTAGGGCCCCTCTTAAACCCGAATGTTTCATTTCAGAGAAAGAGGGGGCATAAAAACATAGCGTTCTTTAGTGTTTATCTGTTCACCCTTTTCTTCAACTCTCGTCTGTAGAATGGCCTGTGAAACATTTATTCAAATAGCATCTTGAGGGCTGCTGTCTGTCCTCAATCAGAATATCCAGGAAGAGGAGCGGGGAAATTTGAATGGCCGCTCTTTCTTTGCTTATTCAGGACTCTGCCATAACACTGAAGCCCTGGGAAGTCTCTGCTGCCACTTCAGTCACATTCTCTGTCTACTCAACTCAAAGTCATTGCTGCTGCCACTGCTTTTGTGCAAGTGCATGCACACACACTCGCACATGCAGACATACCTGCAAGTTGCAAAAGTGAAGCTACAGTATTGCCTTTTCCCCAACTGAGCTGTTGGAGTTTTGCCTCTGAGATGCTTCCTCATTTAGGTGGCCCCAATTCCCTCTGACTTTAGAAAAGACGTATGCAACAAAGAGGGAAAGGAGATGGAAGCATCTATGTAGGTGTGTGTGCATGCCGCAAGAAAGCACAGGCTTGTGAATAGGGGAGAAATGGAGAAGAGGCAGAAGGAAAAAAGACTAAGGTGGAATTGATAGTCGTGCCAGCATGGACACTCTACTTTGCTAAAGAGTTGAGATCACTGGGCCAATGCCATGTCCACCTCTTATTTATTTCTTACTATTCATGGGCAGCACTTGAGCAATGGGGGGAAACAAAAGGAGAAAAGGCCGCTGGAGATGAGTGTTGTTCCTCTTGGAGGGGCAGGATAGGGGGGGTTCTTCCACATGAAACTTCTTCCTGCCTCCCTTCCTTTCCTCACCTTCTTCCTCCCACTTTTACTGGCTCGTTATTTCATCATCTTTCACTTCTACCGCCACGATTATCCCTCACCAGGCTATAGTTTTTCCAGCAGGCATTGAATTTTGAGGGAGGGGGGAATGAAACAAAAGAACCTGAAAATGCTACGCCCTTTCAAGTTTAATGAAAGGGACTGGTGCCCAAAAGACCAAAAAAAAAAAAAAAGGAATGAAGATAAATCAATACAAAGGAAACCTGAACATTTCCCCTGAGCATCTCCCTCTTAACTACAGTACTAGGAAAATATTTTTGAAATAGCAATGTTTTAATTTGCCAGAAGAAAGCTACCTCTAGAGAAAGGCAGATGAGTTCCATTTTGTAAACAGCACCAACAGCTGAAGTCACAAGAGAAGAGACCCTGCTCCTCTGTGAGGGTTCTAAAGGCCTCTTCTTTCTCTCCAAATAAATTAGCAGACGTGCGAGGTTTGGAATTTGGAGTAACGTTTATTGTGTTATTTAACAGAAAACCAGAAAACCAGCATTCCAAGTTTTGTCACCTCCTAACAATGGGTCAGAGAGAGCTTTCCAACTTTCTTCTTTAAAGGGGTTTCCCCCAACAGCATCCCAAGGACCCGGCCAGTCACCCGGTGGATCAGTTCAGTAGTAGTCCAGGTCCTTCCTCCAATAGCAGTACTGATTCCTCGTCCCGGATGTCCACCCAGGCAATGTCCTTGCAGGCCGTAAAGGTCTGCCATGGTCCAACGGGTACCCCCTCATCTGGGTCTCCATCACCCTCCATTCAGTTCTTTCACTCTTTTCTCTCTCCACACGCTCCTTTTCCTCCCTCAATTTCCTCCTCCACTCTGTATCCTCCGTCTCACCCCAATAAGATGGTCTCGGGGTCAGTTCTCGTCACCGTCTATAGTCCACCTCTTCTTTTGGTATTCGGAGCCTTTTCCACTTCCCAGTCGACGGGTCTTGTATCCAAACCCATTCCCAAGCTACAGACAGTTCCCCTTCTCCCCCTTTTATATCAGCAGACCCCACCTCCACCTTTACCTGGGGTTTTCGTTCCTTTCCCGCCAAGGTTTTCCCGCTTTCCTCAACCGTCAACTTTTGCACTTCTTCCTCCACTGGTATGGGAACTATCTCTGTAGCCACTGTCTTTTGCAAATGGGCCATGGGTGAAGTTTGTACCCCTGTCTCTACAGAGGAGGGACGAGATGGCACTCCAGACAGAATAGGTGTTTCCTCGCCTCCATCCTCACATCTTCATGCTTACAGCAGGAGTCCTGTTTGCGTTAGCTATAGCTAATGGTGGATAACCGAACACACAACCAAGATAGCCTCTGGCACCTTGTCAATTAGCCACAGTTACCCACAACAAGTTACACAGGCCTTATGTGAATTCCAGTAGGATTCTAGCCCACATGACTTGTAATCTGCACAAAAAGAATATAAAAGATTGATTACATCTTCTCAGCCTAATCTCAGATATCAGGACAACGGGAGAAGACAGAAAAGTCTTCCTGGAAGCTGAAATCAGAGAAAGTCTGAAATCACCCAAAAGCAAACCAGAGTGGTCCATATAAGAAACATAAGATACAATTAAACAGTACAGAGTTTTGGATTTAGCAAGAATGGTATGGGCGTGGTGAACAGCACCAGAAAAGTGATCTGATGATCTGGCCAGTCAGAAAATGATTATGAGCCATCAATGCAATGCAACTTTAATTTATGTATTTGTCAGATGAAGCACTCCTTGTAAAGCTAGATACATATAAGACATAAGACATAAGAAATTTATTTGTCATTGCGCTCACAAGTGGGTGCAACGAAATGAGGTGCTCTTCCCTAAGATAAAACTGGACAACACTACAAAAAAAAGTTAAAATATACACAACTTTCACCATCCAAATATAGATACCCCGTTTTCTCTCAGCAATTAAAATTCCACCAAAAACCTATGGCCCCGCATTTAAACTCAATACTGTACTTGGGTAAAAACTGTTCTTGAATCTGCTTGTCCTTGCTTTCAATACCCTGAATCTCCTTCCTGATGGTAATAGTTTAAAGAGCTGATATCCCGGATGAGAGGAGTCTTTCAGTATATTAGATATCTTCCTCTTACATCTGTTCTTATACAATTCTTCCAAAGAGGGGAGTGAACAGCCAATGATGTTTTGGGCCGTCTTGATCCCCCCTTGAATTGCCTTTTTCTCTGCCACTGTGCAGCTCGTGAACCATACACAGAGACAGTAGGATAATATGCTCTCAATCGAACTCCGATAGAAGGTGATTAACAAACTCTCAGTCAATTGTTGCTTTCTAAGAATCCTTAGAAAATACAACCGTTGTTGTGCCTTCCTGATTAACGCAGTGGTGTTTGCACTCCAAGTCAGGTCATTGGTTATGATAGTCCCAAGAAACTTACATTCAACCACCTGTTCCACACAAACTCCATCTATATACAGTGGCTGAATGTCTGCTCTTTTTTTCCTATAGTCCACTATGAATATAAATGCCAGTACATAAAGGACTACTAAGATCCACTTAGAATAATGTGTTTTATTCTCATTCATATTCAGTAATGATAACATTGGAACTGGCAAAAAGATATGGCACTTGAGAAGATGTACTGTTTAATTCTCCAATTATATCAGAAATTGTAGTAGAATGATAGCCCTAAGTCAGGAATTTGAACTGTCTGACTGTGTGCATGTGCTGTTCTGGTATCTCGAACATCACACATTTTGCCATTACTAACATTCTAAATTGTCCTCGCTACGATGAACAATAATATAACTGCATTCATAAAGAACTAGACATATCTACAGAAGCTGAAATAAATGTTGTAAGTCCCTTGCTCCTCAGTCATTTAACCGTGTGCTGTATCTCTGGCTCCCAATATCAGGAAGATTGTTTTCCCCCATCCAAGTCCCTGGGTTAGGAAATTCCTTCCAGAAAACCAGAAAATACATACTGTAGCTAGAACTGCAGTAGAAGGTGGATAACTTTTATGGATCAAATATATCCATCCCTGGCCCTTCAGAGACACACCTGCTCCTATGTCTCCCTGAATATTTTCCCTTTAACTGAAAAAAATTCTTGGCAAATGTAAAAAAACACACACCCCAAATTGATATATGACTGACCAGATGGGGGTGGGGGGTTAAGGTGCTGGGATGTTTCTCCTATGAATGCATAGGAGAGGAAGAAAATGAAGAAGAGCTATTATGTTCTCATTTACATCTTACCTTCCTAGTTTTTGCTATCTGGAGCCATAGGTTCAACCGGTACCATTTTATCGTGTACCTTGTTTCATTCCTTCTCCTCATTTAGCACACAATAGGATGGATTATGGTGGTTAATGCATGGATACTCCATGCTTAGTGCAGGAAGCTGGAATTCAAAACCTTCTTACTTTTCTCATTTCATGATGTAGGCTGAAGAAAACGTGCTCATATGGGGCCTTTCTATTCATTTTCCTGTGCAGTGAAAGGGAGCAAGACTGCTATCACCACCCACAAGGTGCAGTCTTCTAAACTGAAGGGATCACCCCCAACACCCTTCACATTTATGCTCCTGCTTATCTATGATCCTCTCCGATGCCCGTTTATATGTGCATGAAAAGGAATCAAATACATATGTCTCATCAAGATCTTTCCACATGGATCACTGCCCAGAGAACTCGGGATTCTATAGCTGCAAAGGATTGGTTTACAGGTTCTCCTCTTCTGTTCATGTCAGCAGATATTTTGCCAATAAGTTGAATGGGACGTACCCTGCAATTACATTTCAACACCAGTAAGCCTGATTTCTGGTCTAACATAACATCCTTTGGGCTGCTGACTGAGGACCAGAGGTGTGAAAAGTACAGAAGTCCTTTTGCCCGACAGAAGGCCTTCTCAAAGCAGAAATGAATACATCTTGTGCAGATTATATGTAGTTTCTTTGCCACTTTTTATGTTTATATATAGGTCTTGAGGTCCATCTTCTACTCATGTAGCACATAAACAAATGATGCTGGGAAGACACCTTTCCTGTGAGGCTGCCCTTCAATTCTGCCACACTGTAAAAAATAAAATATAAAAAAAAGTACAGAATTACAAAGCTGCGCAAAGACCTAATGAGAACTGCATTTCTGATCCCATCATGCTTTATATGTGTGGGTCAGGTAAGGTGGGAAGAGTAATGCACCACCATCCTATAGTCTTGAACAGCTGTGGAGGACTCTAATATCTACCCTTCTTTTAAAATATTTATTTATTAGCCGCACCCTGAGTCTTGCTGACTTATTTATTTTTTCCACAATGCCTTCAATGTAGTATCACAGTTGCGTGCCATAGGCTCACAGAAACCTAGACCTGACCCTTCGGGATAGGAGAGCAGTTAATGTAGAGAAAAGGAACCCACAGGAATCACCTACTAGAAAGTTCAGCTGGCCACTTACCCACCAATTGGAATCCTCCTCTCCATCGACAACAATGATCTCTCCAGCTGAGAACGTTAGCTCATCTTCATGGTCTGCCTGGCAGTCAAAAAGAGCTCTGACCCGACGCAAGCATTTCTTCTAAAAAATAAGCACCAATAAACAATATCAGACTTGCACACACAGATAGTGTGGTTTATATGGAAGTGCTCAGTCGCACTGTGAAAGATGATAGGTTTATTACACATTTTTGTGCAAGTGTTCTCCAAAGTGGTAAAAGATAGCACTTTGTCATGGCCTGTAATTTTCCTCAGCTAGGTATCTTGCATTTAGGTGGTGGTGGTGGTTGTTGTTTGTGTTGTTGTGTTGTTGTGTTGGTTGTGGTTGTGGTTGTTGTTGTTGTTGATGATGATGATGATGATGATGATGATGATGATGATGATGATGATGATGATGATGATGATGATGATGATGATGATGATGATGATGATGATGATGATAATAATAATAATAATTCTTTATTGGCATATAAAATAAACATAGTCAGGCTAGTATGTTAGATTTCTGGATTCACAGGCTTGTTTTGCTTGTTTTGTGACGGGTTGTTGGATGTTTTTCATTTAATTCACAAGTCTGATTGCTGAAGCATTCACGTCTGAGGAAATCCTATTATGGTTGGGAAAGCAGTTCAATCTGTTTAGTCTTTACATATTTTAAAATACATCTTAGTGACATGCTTCTGTAACAGGGAGAAAGGTAGCTTAGGTGTAGAAAATTCCAACCTTAGCTCATGACATGCTAATATGAACCTGGAAAATGAAAGCAGTGAAGGTACGAACAGGCAGGCATTTGTTTCCTATTTAAGTAAAGGTTGGGGATGGACATGTTCACTCCTTTTCCTGGCAATCGCACAATGTACCTGTATCATGAATCTGCCCAGTTCTTCTCAATGCCTATTCCAGTTTGTGTGAATACTGGCATCAAACTGAAGCGGATTACATAAACTGTCCCTTTGCTTAAGCTTCTTAATAATGTTGAGAAATAGAAAGCTTCCTTGTCACTCCCCTACAGAATGGAAGGGAGAGGAAGTTTTCCATTTCTTTTTAATTGTTGCTAACATATCAGTAATCCTTTGAAAGGGCTTTAAAAAAAAGAAGCCATTTCAATGCATTAGGATGTGCTGTATCAGCTAGCAACAATTAAAAAGAAATGTAAAGCCTCATCTCCTTTCTCTCTGCAAGGAGTGGGGAGGAAGCTTTCCATTTCTCAAGTTCATCAAGCAGCTTAAGCAAAGCATGGTGGAGGAGACAGGACTGAGATTCTTTTGTGATTTTGGTTTTCTTCCCCCTTTTTCTTCCCTTTACAGGGAAAGAATATCAGTCTAGATCAGGCTAAACAGGGTCACCTGAGATGTGGGTGTGGTTGATCCTTGGATATGTAAGGATTGCCCCCAAATGACATACCACATCTCAAAACAAACCTGTTTAGCATGAACTAGATCAATTCAGACTGGGATAATTAGGATGTCTAGCTGCACCCCAAGTTAGGAAACAAATATCTAGAATAAAAACATACCAAACTGCCCCTTTTTGGCAATGGTGGCGGAATATCCTCTGAAGATGCAGGTGACTGGGATGTAGACCAATGATTCTCTGTGTGTTGTGTCAGTTTGCAATAGTTTTTTGTTTCTTTAGAGGCATCTGCAGAGCAAATAGATCTCAAATCACTTTGTGGACAACTTCAGAGAATGAAAAAGGAGAAGGAAAACAATGTTCTACAAATTTTACCCAGAGGCACTGGTGGTTGTACAACATGCGGTCACTACCCAACAGATCAGAAGAGATAGCTCTGTTGGAACAATTTCACCAGCTAACTTCCCACCCCCACCTCAACTCAACTGTAGCAGCAGCTGTGGAAGTAATTGCAAATGGCCTTTCCTTTCCCCCATTGCTGGTGCTCAGAAGAAGGGGGAAGTCGCTTCGTCAAAAGACTGCCTGCCTATTTCTGTTGACAGAATTCAGAAAAGAAAAGACTAGTGCAGAAAAGTGTAAGCAAACTGATCAGGGCTTGAAGCAACTTTCCTACAAGGAAAGATTATAATCTGTGGTGAATTCAGGGCTTGTCCAAATCTACTACTCTCACTCTGTCAAATGACAGGACTGGGAGACAACAGAAAAGGCAGCTGTTCATGCTCTTGTGGACATCCTATGGGCATCTGATCAGCCATTGTAGAATCAAGGTTCTGAGATAGATAGGCCTGGTCTATATCAAGTACTGTCATGCTGGAAAATTTAGAGCACTCCTGAATTTGCCTGGCCTTAAAAAAAATAAAAGCAAAAGAAAACGGAACTAAACTAAGAACTTTCCAACACAGGATAGGATAACTTATATATTTCACTGTCTTTATCAATATTATGGCCATCGACCAGTCGGGAGTCGATGACACTCATGAAATCACAGTTCAAAGACTACATGTGTACAGCTAAAAATTTGCAGGGGCATTCTTCCAAAAACAGAATTCACAAGTTTGAGAGCTAGAGAGAATGCAGGTTCCCTGCACCATTAAGTCATACTTAAAGAAAGATAGGTGAATCTTATCTAGAACTGGGTAGCGGCGTTAGCAGAAACAGTCTTACCTTCCTGCCAGGAATCTACTGTATTGGAGAGTTCAGAAGATGCAGAACTAAAGAAAACAATGAGGTACAAAGGGTTCATTAACCTTAAAAGAATCCTACATCCAGGTGTTTGAATAGTATTTGTCATTTGAACAGTCATACTAGCTAACTGGTGAGAAGAAATCAGGTGTAATGTGAATGGGTGTTCTGATAAACTGGTGCGAAATGGATTTAAGCTGCACACATTAGAGCACCCATTCACTCTTGAACAGCAAATACAGAAATAGAGATCTCACCTCCTTTTAAAAGAGAGCTTGGTAGTACCTAGCGATGAATGAGAGATAGACTTTTTTTTACCTTAGACTTCTTGGAGAAGCTCCTTCTGGAGAGCAACGTCTTGGAAGTGAAAAGGTTCTTGAGTCTGATGGGAGACAAGAGACAGAAGCTCGCTGATGTTCATAAACTAGAATCTGATCAGATTACTGTAGGTCAAATCACACATTAAAGAAGCTGCACACGTTAGAGCACCCATTCACTCTTGAACAGCAAATACAGAAATAGAGATCTCACCTCCTTTTAAAAGAGAGCTTGGTAGTACCTAGCGATGCATGACAGATAGACATTTTTTTTACCTTAGACTTCTTGGAGAAGCTCCTTCTGGAGAGCAACGTCTTGGAAGTGAAAAGGTTCTTGAGTCTGATGGGAGACAAGAGACAGAAGCTCGCTGATGTTCATAAACTAGAATCTGATCAGATTACTGTAGGTCAAATCACACATTAAAGGAAACACATATTTCCTGTTATTATATTTTTCTAACAGCAATTTGTTCAAGCCACAATCAGATCCACAAAAGTGGCCCTTGTATACCTCCTAATAATCTATCACAAAGAAAGTTAATTTATTAAATGCAGAGCATGAGGCAAACTCATGCTACGACAGTCAGATGTCTTATCATTTCAGCGACATCTGACTGTCGTAGCATGAGTATTGTTTAGTTTGACCACAGTATTGTCTAGTTTGACCACATGTCTAAAAATTAATGAAGAAAAAATTCTTTTAATGAGTTGGAAACATATTAATGGTACTTCTGGTTACATTAGCAGCTAACCTCATCATTGTGTTGACAGATCTCTTGTCCAGAATGCTTCCGACAACTTTTCTTCAAAGTATAAATTAAAACATGACCAGGAGACATTTAAGTTGGTATCTCAGAAAAGGAGGGTCTGTCCACACAGGCATTTGTCCTGCTGTTTGGTGCATTGATGGAGTGGGTTGGTTCACTCTTTTTTTTCCAGTGTCCACAAATGTACATCGCTCAGTTGGACCAATCTGCCACAACCCCCACCTTTTTGAACCTCTTTGGGTGGGTTCTACTCTCTTGGTGTGGGTTGGAGGACTCCAGTTTAGTCCATTCCGAGTGAGTGTAGTCACTTGGACTGGAGTAAACTAGAGTTCTCCAGTTCCTTCCGGTATCAATTTCTGGTATTCTGAAGTGGCATATGAGGATCAGAAAATGAACAGTTCCCCTGATCATGTGTGGAGGGTCAGGGGAAGTGAAATTATCAGGAAATGCTAGGTATAGACTCAATCCCAATGCTGTTTGTGCAAGGTTTGTGTAACTTCCCTCAACTAATTGCAGTTAATTGATGAGATACTGCGGTGCACCTCACTTTTGGCAACTGGGTGCATAGCCAAGCATGTGAGAGTCGCATGCTCTGACACCTTACCAGTTAGCTGCAATTAGTTGTAGCAAGTTAAACAAACCTTAAGTGAACATTCATAAGATTCAGGCCATATCATGTTTAGTGTGTAGAATAACAGCCACCCTAAAGTGGCCTTTTCAGTAAATTTTAGTATGGCAAACTGAACCTATAAATGATCTGACAAATGGAGATTGAAACCACATCCTGTCTCTTACTTTCTGCAGTAAGAACTGTAAACTATGTACACTGAATTAGATGGAACTACCATCTGAATCAATACAAAACAGCTTCAAGTACTCTTATATTTCATGTCATGTTCAGGTACTCTTATAAATCATGGCATTGCTCTCCATTAAGGTCCTAAAGGATGAAGAGTTTCCTTACCTGCAGTTGGACTGGTATGATTCAGTGGCGTGCAGGGAGAAGGCTCTGAGGAGGTCCGTTTATGTCGAATCTGCAGAGGTGGAGGAAGGACCTTCCTAGCTGTTGTGTTTTCAGGAAAGACTGGCAGGCTGGATGGGGGTAGTGGAGGAGGGAAACTGGGGGCTGAAAAATACATTGAATAATTGCAGTCATGTTAAACCGAAGGCAATTTATTAATGGAGCAGGAAAACAGGGTGAGTTAATGCTTTTATCAGCTGTGTGACTGAGGGTTCTTACCTTCAGTTGTATTTAAAGTACATTGCTGGTGATTTGGTTTTAAATCAAATACAAAACAGAGGAAGCGACAGCACTCAGAATGATACTGGAAAATGTGGGGAACTTTTACAGACTGTGGTTTCCTTTATGGAATCAATCCATCTCATATTTAGTCCTCCTCTTTTCTTGTTGCTTTCAGCTTTTCCTAGCACTATTCTCTTTTCCAAGGAATCCTGCCTTTTCATGATGTCCTCAAGTACGACAGTAGGAAAGTGGTCTTTTTCCCTTCTCTTTTTGACATTGTAGTACTCCTTTTCATCTTGTAGTTTATTAATCTTTTTTTTCTTTTTTCAATCTATAAGATAACCATCTTCCAAGTTTATTGCCATTTTCAAAGAAGTTTTGTTTAGCCCTTTTAATTTGCTGGGCGAATTGTTCAGATTCTAATAAGTTTAATTTGTGTTTTATTATCTCCATCTGGTTCTTAAGGGTTTTCTTCTGTGGTTCTTTTTGTAGTTCTAGTTTTTTAAGTTTTTCCTTCAGTTTTGCAAGTTCTTGTTTTTACTCTTTGTTTCTTTGAGCTATAGATGACATGACTAATCCCTTGAAACATGCTTTAGCTGTATCCCAGATCGTTCGGAGGGTTGTTTCCTCTCTTTTATTTTCTTTGAAGAAGAGTTCCATTTCTTTTTTGTTCTTTCCACAAATTCTTTGTCCTTCAATATTCCCAGATTTAAAGTCCATCTTGTCTTTTTTAAAAATCATTTCCACCACATTTTCATTGGATTATGGTCTGCCCACGTATTGATTTCTATTTCTACTTCCTGTGTTTCAGTTTTTAATTCCAATGATAGCCAAATCATATCTATTCTCAAACAGGATTTATGCCTGTTCGAGTAGAAAGTAAATTGAGAATTTTTAGTATTTATTTCTCTCCATATATCTTGTAGTCCTAGTTCTTCTGCCATCTGAAAGAAGATTTTGTGGAGTTTTTTCCTTCCACTTTTCCCCTTTTTACCACTTTTGTAGTCAGATTTCTCATCTGCAATTGCATTGAAGTCTCCTAATATACAAATGTTTTGATATTCTTTTTCCAATATTGTTTTATATAGCTTGCAATATATTAGGTGCATATATTGCTATCATCAAAATCTTTTTTGGTTTATTATTATTTCTACCATTAAGATTCTCCCTTCTTCATCTGAGTAAACATGTTTAGAATTTAGCGTTTCCTTCACGTATAAGGCTACCCCTCTTTTTTTTGTTCTGCTGCCAAATAGTAGAGTTTGCCAATCTTCAGATAGATCAGATATTTGTAATGTTGTCTTTTAATGTGTGTTTCTTGAAGATAAATTATGTCCATTTTTGTTTTTTGCAGTTGTGAAAGACATAATTCCTTTTTTTTTTGTGCGTTCAGGCCGTTGATATTCACTGAGAAGATCCCAATTTCCTTCTCCATCTTGTTTACTTATATTTAGGATTTGTTGCCCTGGCGTTCCTTCTTTCTCTTTGTGTTTTATTCAGATCTTGTCCAATGTCCTTTTCCCGACTTCCCGAAAGTGTTGATAATCCCTCGATTCTCGAGTTTTGCCACATAATAAAGGGTCATTAGGTGAGAATAAAATGTTTCTAGTCTTTGAATTACTGTCTGAATAACAGAATAAGCCCAAGGCATAGACAAATTACCCCCTCTGCCTTACAGTTATGTCTTATTCACAATATAATATTGATTTGAACAGAATATGATTTGCTTTGTCATTATCATGGCAGTATATGCATTTAACAATAGCAATTAATCTAGTTTACACTGCAGGTAGCCACAATGGCTTTTATAAATTTTCCAGTTGATAAAAACATAATGAAGAAAAATTGTATGATTCACTCACCCAAGTTTCTCTGAAAAAAAAACTGTGTGTATTCCCAGTACATTTCCTGACCTCAAGCTAAAACCTAATACAACTCATATTATGGAGTCTTCAATATTAAAATACTATATTCAAGGTATTTTAAAAGGCAGAATAGAAAATAAATAATGCATTAAGAAAGACCATATAGAATTTAAAGGGAAAATTAGCATCAACTCAATATGTGATTATAGAGCTCTGAAAGTACAGGTACAAAGGGAGTAATGGAATGGGACATCAATTTTGTTGCCTAACCTTTGGGTTTGTTACGTGGTGGTAGCGGCGGGTTTGCACAAACAGAAACTGTAGAAGATGCTGTTGCAGCTAACTTAGAGGCCTGGGGTATAGCATATGAATCACATTGTTTATCCAGGGATACTTGATTGCCTCCCTTTGAGAAGTTAGCTGGATTTTTCCATGATTGAGAGGCTGTCCCGGGCAGATTATAACAACTTTGAGGACGATGAAAACGATCCTTTTTCACTGGACTGAGCTGGAATAAAAAGATGTGTAGACTTACAATAATGGAAAGCTGGAATAAGGCTTTGGTGAGCACTAAAAGGACTTCAGGGAGAAGCAGATGAATCCCAAAAAACAACTGTGGCTAGATTAGACCAACAGTCCATCTGATTCGCTATTCTAACAACCTCCAAATGCCAGATGATTTATAAATAGGGCATTTAAAGCCATTGGAAGCACTACCCTTTCTGATCCTAGCATCTGTTTTTGAATACAGAAGGACCATTTAATTGTCATGGTCATGCATGCAAAGGGGATGTTAGTTATGCACCGTCAAGCAGGAACCAAATTATAGCAACCCTAACAGGGCATTCAAAGTAAGTAAATATTGAAGGCGGGATTTTACTAGTTCCATTTTCCAGTGAGATTTCCTGGGGATTTGAAGCATGACCTACCTAGTCATAGTCACTATATCCACTGAATCATACTGAGTACTTCTGAGTAGAAACAGTTAGGACTGGATGTTGCAATAGGAATGCATTGTGGATGGGGTTTTCCTCTGCATACACATTAAATGATTGCATTGCTGAAGTTATTACAAGACGTGGTCATTTGCAAAGTGTTAAGAATAAGACTTGTAGTTAACAAATAATTGACACATAGTACAACTTTTCAACATGAGATCACACAACAGATATACAGAAAGAGGAACCAAACCTGCGTTCAAACCCAGATGCTGACTTGGTCCTCTTATCTATTCCTGCAATATTATTGGCTCATGTCTTATAGGACCTGCTAAAGTCATCTGCAACATCAAACAGTCGTAAACAAATTCATACAGTATTTGCCTGTGATATATGGCATCAATTTCACCAGTGCTTTACTGCACTTTCCAGGGACGTGGTGGCACTGTGGGCTAAACCGCAGAAGCCTGTGCTGCAGGGTCAGAAGTACAAGCAGTTGTAAGATTGAATCCACGCAACGGAGTGAGCTCCCGTCGCTTGTCCCAGCTCCCGCCAACCTAGCGATTCGAAAGCATGCAAATGCAAGTACTGTAGATCAATAGGGACCACCTCGGTGGGAAGGTAACAGCATTCCGTGTCTAAGTCGCACTGGCCGTGTGACCACGGAAGATTGTCTTCGGACAAAACACTGGCTCTATCTATTCCTGCAATATTATTGGCTCATGTATTATAGGACCTGCTAAAGTCATCTCCAACATCAAAGAGTCATAAACAAATTCATACAGTATTTGCCTGTAATATATGGCATCAATTTCAGCAGTGCTTTACTGCACTTTATCTAGAACAAACAGGTCTATCTCTACACAAAAGAATAAATAGACACAAATGTGACACCATAAAATGGCATTCAAGAACTTGTGGGAGAGCACTAGAACATCACAGAGAATTATGAATAACTGTGATATGGCCAATTCTCAAACAATTTTAAAGGAGATTCTCAGTTTGAAACTCTTGAGCTATAATTCACCAATACACTTCAGTCCGGTAGTTTGTAGAGGAACTTTGAGAAAACACACACACAACATGTATTCAGTTCAGCAATGCAAAGAAGTCTGTGTTGCCACCTAACAACTGTTTTTATGAATGTCTCATGTTAAGATAATTATTGCTGTCTATTTCTACCAGCCATATCACAAATCCTTACTCCATAATTAATCTGTTAAGTCTTTGAGAACCTGCAAAGTCCTTTTTTTCCCCTGCAAAGACTCAACATGGCTAATCATTTTTGGAACCCTGCTAGTTCTACAATTTGGTGACTATCCATATAAATAATAATACAAGTTTGTATTTCTTCTGGAATCCCTGATGGAATGGATTCCCATCTTGAACGAGTCAATAGTTTGTTGGGAAGGTGTCCACTCTACTCTGACTCTGTAAAGAACAGCTGAGATATGGCAAACAATATATACCAGCTTCAACTCAAGCAGCAACTATTCAAAAGTGCTGGAATCTTACCTTTTCATCCAGTTCATCATCGCTTTCAAACATATCCTCTTGGCCCAAATACCATTCATATTCTACATGAGCACGCAAGTTGAATTGATCATTCTGAGCTTGCAAAAGCTGGAACACACAGAAAACTCAGCTTTTCCTCACATTCATATATATACAGGACTCCCAGGGAAGTGCCAAAAGACAATAAGAAAAGATGTGCAGAACTAGGTTACCAACATTATCAGTACTTGCATAGTAAAATAATACTGGCAGTCAAGAGGGCAAGGCGCTGAATATTTTTGATTTTACGCTGGCTAGTGCTCACACACTAAATATTTCTGAATTTATGGTTCACTATGGCACATACAGAGCTGGCTGGATAGCTGAGTGAGTTGGGATGCAGAGTTAGAGGCTGGGAGTTCAGTTCCCCACTGTGCATCCCAGAAGAGCCAGCTTATGTAGCCTTGGGCAAATTGCACGGTCCCAGGATACACCAAAAGAGAGAAATGGTAAACCACTTCTGAAAAGGTTTGTCATAAGTCAGAATTTATTTGATGGTACACAATTATCAGCATTAGCATTCACACAAGCAAGCCTACCTAATATGGCAGAAGAAAGAAAAAACAAGCTGCACTCTTAAGCACCAAAACCTACATTACATATAACTTGTCATTAGACATGGAATCACATTGGAGGATGGGGGAGAAGCAAAAATGCCAGTGTCTTACCAGAGCCTCACACACAGCATGATTCATTTGCCTGGAAACATCAAGAGCGGTCTGTCCAGCTTCATTAGCTGTGTGGAAAAATAGAGACATGACCAAATGAGTAATGAGGAGGGGAGAAGCAAAAATGCCAGTGTCTTACCAGAGCCTCACACACAGCATGATTCATTTGCCTGGAAACATCAAGAGCTGTCTGTCCAGCTTCATTAACTGTGTGGAAAAATAGAGACATAACCAAATGAGTAATGAGGAGGATAACTGTTAATAGTCACCAGTCTCTGTGGCCGGCATCTTCAGAGGACAGCAACCTGTACTCTGGTGTAGTTGGCTTGGGAGTGCTAACTGTTAATAGTTTTTTCCCCAATCTGTATATTGCTCCATTTGAACCTTATCTTTGCATCCTAAGTGTGAAATTAATGTGCTTTAGGGCTTACACTTGACAGAAAGAACATCAGACATTACAAGACTGTCCCGTGAGACTACACAGGAGTCCTCTGTACTGTATTCCAAAGTTAAAGGGTTTTTTGCCTTTTAAACCAGAATTGCTTGCACACTTTGTTCCCTCTTTCTCTTCACAACGATCTTGTAAAGTAGCCCAGGCTGCGAGAGAGCAGACTCATTGAAGGAGATTTACCAAGTTTCATGACTTATTGGAGACCAAAACCCGAGTCTTAGTCTAACACTCTATCCACTGTATCATGCTGGTTCCATACCAGAAAGACCAAAGGTAGGTTTCAAAACATGGCATCTGATGCAATTTCATGTTAAGAAACAGACCTTTGGTAAGAGAAGGAGCAGTGGGGACTGATCATTGCTTTCTATATGTCATGGGAGGCATCGGAACTCACTGGGAGGAGTGGAGCTGGTATAATCACTTCTTAAATATCTTACTTACCTTGAAAGTCCTATCAGAGTAACTATTAGTTATTTCCAACTTGATGCTACACAGCATAAAGAATGTATGTACATCAGAAATTCTTGATAAAGTGGCTATAATCCATGAAAATCTATGGTTTAATAAATTTCCTAGTGACTATTATGCCATGTGACTATCTTATTTTCTACAACCCACTAATGGTCAAAAGGGATGACACATTTATCACATTGTTGTTCTTGCTTTGAAATGGCACTCTTCGAAGTGTTAAAAGAAATCAGTTTGCATTAGCCCGTGATTCTTCTCGCCTGTGTATCTTGTATTTGTTTTGTGATTGGTCATTGGAAGATAAACAAGGACTTGATTTATAACTTCAGTTGCTGAAGCAGGTAAATCCAAGCAAACCTTGTGGGAGGGAAAACAGGTTAATGCCACATATGCATTTTTAGTGGGTCCTGAGCTAGTTTATTTTTTATTAATGGTTTGATGACTGTAAAAGTAAATAATCATCATCATGTGCCATGAAGTCAATCAGAGTTATGGCAACCCTTTTCAGGATTTTTTAGGTAGAAAATATTCAAAAATGGTTTACTTTTCCCTTCTTCTGAGGGCGCTCTGGGACTGTGCAGTTTTCCCAAGGCCATATACTGTAGGCTGGCTCTTCAGAGATGCACAGTAGGGATTTTGATTCCCAACCTTAATATTTAATTCACTGAGCTATCCAGTAAGCTAAGTGAAAGCAAATACACTCCACAAATTAAGTGAGAGCACCTGCATTGAAACCATCTGAGTATTGTCAGTATCACCTTAAACAAACTACCACAGCTGTATGTTTGAACACTGGGTGACTGTAAAGTATATGGGATTATACAAGGCACTATAGTGAAACAATGAAATAAGAGAGAAAAATAATGTAACTAAGCAGATATTTCCCCTTCTAATGTTGAACAATAATTTTGTTTGGTATCGACTTACTGATTGCAATGTTGGCTCTGGCTCGTAGAAGTAGTTTTATGCATTCAGGTTTATTGTGGAGGCTGCAGTAATGGAGTGGTGTGTTCCCCTTGGATGTCTGTTTCACCAGGCTCCCACTAGATAGGAGACATTAAAAGAGCCATATGGACAATTGTCATTGTCAGGCAATCTTTGGGCCAGTATGGGGAAGGTGTGGTCCTCCAAAAGTTAGTGGACTGCAACTCCTACCATCCTTCACCATGGGCCCAAATATGAGGAAGAACTCTTGTTTTATATAATTAGCAACTGGTAAAAAGGGGGGGGGACGGAGGGAGGGAGGGAGGAAAGAAGGGAGGAAGGAAGGAAAAAGGCCTGGATTTTGCCATTACTGTCACAGCTTTAACAATGCCAGCTCAGGATCACTCTGCTTTTCTCCAGCTTTTAATTTTAACTGACAGTCGAAGGAGTTGGTGTTGCTATATTTTTCAGATGCCTGGGGAAAATGATGACAATCCTCATCTTCCCCAAGCAGTCATAATAGTCATTGCACATGTTCCTATTTCTTCTTCAGTTTCTCCTGTATTCTGCCTACATCTGGAAAAAATATTCTAAGATAAAAAAATACATTATTTTTATCTCTAAGAAAAGTACAGATCTCTGTCGTTCAAGTGGTTCAGGGATGAGGGTCTCAGATAACAAGATAGCAGAATTTCAGTACTGGACGCATTTCAAACTGGACCCAAGACACTTTCAAATGTGGGAATCATAGATTAAATACCAAGATTGGGCTTCCATGATCATCTTAAACTCAAGGGGCCCTACAATAAATCCATTAACATAAAGAAATTAATGAAAGGAAAGAGTCACACCCTCCTCTTTTTTTATATAGGCCTTTGTACCTTATAAAAAGTTTCTCAAACATTCAGAAAATCCTCCTGATCAATGGGGGATAAGGCACATGGTGTTGCTATGGGAAGACATGCTTTGACAAAGACTGGTAAGGAGGAATGCAGATGTATCCGAGCTAATATTTTTTCAACATAGTCAGTTCTCAGTTATGGAGTGACATGTGCAGATATGTGAACCATTGAAAAGCACTAAGTAGACAATAAAAGGATTCTTGTAGTTCTTATAGAAGAACAATTTAGGAGTTTGGATAAAGAGATTGAAAGAAATTATGCAAACAGAAAGGATGCTTTTGTAACAACAACAAAAAACATAACGAAGACAAAAATAAAACTATCCCATAATAGAAGACATTCCCAAACAGTTTAATTAAAAAATTTCAGTTTCCTCACTTTGGACTTGAAACTATTTGTTTTAGGACATAAAGAATCCTTTTTTGCAAGGAATAATATGGAGTATATTATAATGCTACCCCACTACATCATACCCATCAACCCAGAACTCATTATCTGTCTTCAATAATAGTGAATGTTGCCATGTTAAATCTATTGAACAAACCACAGTGTCAGCTTACCTGTTCTGTACCAGGAAATCTACAATATGCAAAGAGGTTCGGTCACATACTAGCACTGCCAGATGCAGAAGTGTTTCTCCGGAGTCCTTTAAATAACAAACGCGAAGTGATCAGATAAAATTGTTTAAATTTTTTTTCAAAAGCCAGTGAAGGCCTGGCAAATCAATTTCGAGAGGTGGATGAGCAGGTTTATTAATTCTACCCTTTGACAATATCCAAAAGAAGAAATGTCAGGTGGACGTTTATGCAAGCACTGTATTTTGCTATACAGTAACCGGTTATTTAGAGAAGCTTTATGTTCAACTATCAGTTATATTTGGTTCTGTTATTCTATTTTTCTGCCAGTACAGCTGTAGGTGGCTTCATAGTTTAATGGAAGATGTGAAGGCAAGGGCTCCTTAAACTGTCCAGCCAGATTTCTGCTAACACCTCAATTCATTTAATTAATAGGGGAGGGATAAATGATCTATAATTCTGTGGCACTGGTATTATCTCTAGTGGTTTATCCATATGTCGGAGGGAGGGAGTCTCACCTGGCTGGATTCCAAAAGAGGCTCACTTAAATCCACCTTTTCAGCATAAGCTTGAAGCAAGACATAGATATCCTTTTCTTTAACGGCATCCTGCAGCTCCTTAAGCCTGGCTACTGGACTCCTTGCAATCCTCTGAGCAACGTATTTCCTATCAATGTACTTGGAAATGATGAAATCCTTCCGAAGGGTCCTGTAATGATACAGGGCAAAATAAGGATAGATAAGAAACTACAAATTCAAGAAGGCACTTCGATTATGCACCAGCAGATTATAACCTCAATCTCCTTTCCAACAAACAACAGAAGTCCAAGGCCTCAAGCCAACACCCTTCCTCTTCTTTCAGTTTCCCACTTTGCTTCTTTTTACCCCTTTTTATCACAGCTTTCAGGTGGGCAGAAGGAAAACATGTGCAAGATGTTTGACTCATCGTGAATTCAAAATCTGATGCCATATAATGGAAGAACTAAAGGACTCAAAGTCATATGCATCAATGTTTAGACCACAATGCCAAGAGAAAAAGGATCAGCATTTTGCCAGCATTACTGATTCCTCATACCTGCCAGGAATGCAGGAAGCCAGGGTTGCATTACCATTCTCTTAATAGCCCATATGTTTTATTACACACTGGCAAAGTTCCTGCTGCATAGATATGGCTGCCTAACCTGAAGTTGGGCAAGCAATTGCAAAATTCCTGCAAAGGTAGAACTAATATCTAGAAAGAAGTTGCATAGTCAGTTGTGCAGTGAGACATGCAATGCTGACTGCTTCGCCATACTTCTCCATGAGCTTCTGCAGGTATAGCTGTATGCTACACCAGGTACAATAGGATTCAGCCACTAACTCTTTACAAATTTGGCCCACATCATTATGTTACAGTGTCTCACATGTGAAAGAAGGTATCTCACTAAATTAGACAGCTTTACTGTGCTTATGATGAAACCATGGTGTCTTTCTATTTTCTGCTGTCTTCTATATATCTAAATGATCCCATAATTTAATATTTATTGTAGGCTTTAATGTGCAGTGGGAGAAGGTTACTGCATCAATGCCCTTGTTATGTTATGTCTAATACAATAAGTCCTATTAAATTTCTTGCCACAATAAATCAGAAAACCTCAAAGGTGCCATCAAACAGTTGTTGTTTTTAACTAGACTGGAGGATCACAACAAATATGGATGTTCTTGCAGCACCCTCTTTCTCTCCATCTCCCTCCCATCCTGATCATTATATAAAAATGGAAAGAATGGTCCTTTACATGGTACTGTCAGTAGTGGGCTTTGGAGATGAACTGGGAAGATTGGCTTCCACAATATCATTAAAGCGTGAGTTTCCAATATTCTTCGCCAACTGCAAAACACATAAAATATAAATTTAATACTCAGAAATTTAATAATGAAGGAAACCATGCCTATGGTAAGCACTAAACATATGTATCTAAGCACTCCAAATTCTAGCTGGGTCTTAGACAAGGAAAAGATATAGCGTAACGAATTTTGGCAACATTCGATTTGCACCCTTGTGTCAGTTAAATTTTGGTGAATTAAGAAGTGGTTCCAAAATGTATGCTCAGCTAAACATGGATCTTGATTTCAAGAATGTTAGCAATTACTCTATTAGCCTTTTTGTACATTCAGTGCATAAACTGAATAGTGGTAGAGCCGAATGACGGGAAAAGTCCTTATGACCAGTCAATACACATACATGGAGAGATAAGGAAGAAATAAACCCCAGGTAGGTAAGCAGGAGAACTGAAACTATGGTAAATACATGGAAAGTGGTCAGCTAAAAATGACAGAGTGAAAAGAAAAGCAGGAAAAACAGCATACACGAGTTTGGTTTAGCTAAGTGATGAATCAGCAGAACTAGGAAAGGAATGCTGTCACAAAATTTGGTAGGGCAGAATGAAGTCTTTGCCTTACCAAAAGTTCTGAGGTTGCCAGCTTGTCTAAAGCTAGTGACTGGATACGAGAGTGATGCACACCCAGCTCTCGATGAATCCCAGAGCATTCAATGCAGATCAAGATCCCCAGATTAATGGAGAGCCATGCTGGGTCTATAGAGTGAGGAAGCATATGGAAATAAAGATAGAATTAGTGCCATTTTGTAAATAATGATGGACAACGTGGCAAATAATTTTTATGCACTTAATTCCCAAAGTGCTCTCACCACCAGTAGTTCTCGCAAAAATGTCAATAGAGGAGATGGTTTGTTATCCAGTTTCTCGTTATTATAAAATGGTTAACTTCGGTGCTTCAGCAATATAGGTAAATGTAAAGGTAATGGATGTGGTGGTGCTGCGGGTTAAACCACAGAAGCCTCTGTGCTGCAGGGTCAGAAGACCAGCAGTCATAAGATCGAATCCATGCAATGGAGTGAGCTCCCATCACTTGTCCCAGCTCCTGCCAACCTAGCAGTTCGAAAGCATGCAAATGCAAGTAGATAAATAGGTACCACCTCAGTAGGAAGGTAACGGTGTTCTGTGTCTAGTCACGCTGGCCATGTGACCACGGAAACTGTCTTCGGACAAACGCTAGCTCTATGGCTTCGAAACGGGGATGAGCACCACTCCCTAGAGTCGGACACTACTAGACTAAATGTTAATAGGAACCTTTTGACATCTAATCGTGTCCGACTCTAGGGCACAGTGCTCATCCCTGTTTTGAAGCCATAGAGCTAGTGTTTGTCTGTAGACAGTTTCCGTGGTCACGTGGCCAGCGCGACTAGGCACGGAACGCCATTACCTTCCCACCATGGTGGTAAGGTTTAAACCGCAGCGCCACCACATCCCTCTTACAGCAATATAGAAATGAAACTAAACAGTTCTGTATTCAGCTTCTCAAAGCAGTGCTTTACCAGGCTCCCAGTGTGTTGCAACAGCAGCATTACTAATATGGTAATGAACTAAGAAGTGGGTCCCCAAATCTATACTGGACTAAAAATGGATCTCATTTCATGAATGTTAGTGATTACCCCCTTAGCCTTTTTGTACATTCAGTGCATGCAGCGAATACTGACAGGGTCAGATCACTGCAAGTGTACTTGTGCCCAGTAAACACTCATTCAGGGAATTTTATGGGATGAGATATGCACGCAGCCCCTTGTTGAAAGGGAATGCAACACACTACTGAAGAGCACAGGATAACTGCACTTATACAAGCAAAACCATCCTATTCATTTCTCTCTCTCTCTGCAATTTCCTGTCTAATCTTCTGGACCCTTTACTCTTTTTTTGGTGCCTCATGGCTGTTTTCTCTCATGGTTTCAGTACTCCCCCCCAAAAAAACCCCTGAGAAAATTACATATATATTACATATATATTATAGATGTAAAATGAGAAAAGGTACAGAAAATTCTGAATAAAATGGGAGCGAAGTTACAATGCTTTAGGTTGGTTCAGTTAATTTACAAAGGGGACCCTTTACTCTTTTTTTGGTGCCTCATGGCTGTTTTCTCTCATGGTTTCAGTACTCCCCCCCAAAAAAACCCCTGAGAAAATTACATATATATTACATATATATTATAGATGTAAAATGAGAAAAGGTACAGAAAATTCTGAATAAAATGGGAGCGAAGTTACAATGCTTTAGGTTGGTTCAGTTAATTTACAAAGGCAAGTAAGACCCTTGTTGAAAGGGAATGCAACACACTACAGTACTGAAGAGCACAGGATAACTGTGCTTATGCAAGCAAAACCATCCTATTCCTTTCTCTCTCTCTCTCTCTCTCTCTCTCTCTGCAATTTCGTGTCTAATCTTCTGGACCCTTTCCTCTTTTTTTGGTGCCTCATAGCTGTTTTCTCTCATGGTTTCAGTACTCCCCCCCAAAAAAACCCCTGAGAAAATTACATATATATTACATATATATTATAGATGTAAAATGAGAAAAGGTACAGAAAATTCTGAATAAAATGGGAGCGAAGTTACAATGCTTTAGGTTGGTTCAGTTAATTTACAAAGGCAAGTAAGAGGAGATAAGATATATATACATACAATTACAGTATGTATTCTGTGGAGAAAGTCAATAGGGAGATCGTTTTCTCACCCTTCTTATAACACTAGAACCAGTGGTTATCATTAAATCTGAACTATGGAAGAACCAGGAAGATAAAAGGAAATATTTCTTCACACAGCACATAGTTAAACTGTGGAATTCACTGCCACAAGATGTAGTGGTGGTTGACAACTTGTAAGGCATGAAAAGAAGGCTGGATAAAATCATGAAGGCTATGGCCATTAATAGTCACTATTCACAATGGCTATGTATCACCTCAGGTATCAAAGGCTTTATACTACTCTGCATCTTTTTCTGGAGAACATCAGATAAATTGTCCACATATTCCCTTCCCCCCAGTCAGCTATTCAGCCACTTCGGAAGAGGGGATTGGACTACATGGACCTCTGATCTGATTCTGCAATCAGTATGGCTCTTCTTATGTTCTTACAGCACACTTTATCTCATTAATATGCTGGATGGAACTTTTTCAGACTTTGAATTACAATATTAATCACCCCTGCCTAACACTACCATCCTAGATATTGCTGACAGATTGCTTTTATTTTTCAGCATGAAATTCATTTCCCTTCTATGGCAAAATTCTGCAGAACCCATTGATGCTATTTTTGAGATCAAAATGGATTGCAGGATCAATTGCAGCTCTGGACTGTGAATGGATAAAATCATTCTCTGGTGTGTCTGGTGCTGTATCTCTAGCCTTTAGTCTCCAGAACGAAGGCCTCAAAGACTGTTAAACTGTTGAACAGGATATCACAGAAAGCATAATGGGTCCCATTGCTAAGTTCAATCAGAACTATAAAGCAATCTTCCTCTGCTCAGTGCTCTCCAGATGTTAACTACCATTATCTCTGACCACTAATGTCAACTGGGGAGCCGTAGGCCAAAGGATTCTAGGGAAAGAATGATACCTGTTTTTTATGCATGTTACCCATTTCTACAGTTGTGCTGTTAAGTATGCCTGTTTCCTGTAAACCAAGACTGTAGCTAAATTGGAAGGCAGGAACCATCTGAAGTCTTTTGTACCTGACGCTGAACAGTCACAGCACATGCTGTTTCCTGGCATACGCTTTATCTCCTCAATGATAGCTCCTGTCAAGTCCTCCATGCTACACTCTTCCCTGCCATGTGCTTGTCTAAATGTCATGTTCAGAGCCTCTTCTTTACTGTTGCTCAGGACAGAGATCCATCTGCAACACAGGAGGAAAATGCTGTCAGGTACATGGAGCAATCTCACTCTTTCAGTAGATCTTGCCTCATCCCACCCAGGTTCGGTTGATGTCCAGTAACCTGTTGCATGTAGAAGTAAATAAAAGAAGTAAATAAAAGCTGTATGACGTCTAAAGGCACAGCCTGTATGAAAGGAGCACAGAAATGGAAGGCATACAAATTTTGCATGTTCAAACCAACTCTCCATGATAATGTCTTACCTTGCTTATTTGCTATTCAGAAAAAAATGGAATTCTACCCACATTATTTAGGTATAAGCATGCTCTGGGAAATTAAAAAGCACCCTGACTGATAGGTTCAAAACCACCACCACCTGTATCCTAATAGGCACTACAGCAAAGCTGAGAACATGTACACAGACACCTCATATGGTCCCCACAACTCCAGAACCAAAGTTTATGATAATGGAGATCAGTATGAATGTCCGTGCCTGTCTTCCCTGTGGCTCCTATACTCTCAAGGACTATATATCATGTTTTGCTTTTAAGTCTGTATGCTTTGTTGAAACACAATGTGTTCAAATGAACAAAACATAATGACTTAAAATTACTGCACTTATGCAAAAAAATAATTATGCAAAAAATATAATTTGCCAGCTTCCAATAACCCATAGGAACACCAGGTAGAGAAGGTGTCAGAAAACGACGATGTCAAGATTCTGTGAGATTTCCAAATCTAAACTGATAGACATCTTGAACACAACACACCAGACATAGTAATAGAACAAAAAATGTCTCAATCATTGACATTGCAATTCCAGGGGATGCCAGAGTTGAAAATAAAGAATTGGAAAAACTAATGAAGTACAGAGACCTAGCAATCGAAACATCTCGCCTCTGGAAGAAACACTTCAGTGGTCTCTGTAGTCATTGGGGCTTTGGGAACAATATCAAGAAATGTCAGACAGTACTATAAGCAGTTGCAGATCTCAGAAATCACACCATCTGAGCAACAAAAAAAATGGCAGTATTAGGAACAGCATAATACTGCATCAATATTTAACAGATACTTATGTTTTCGGTTAAAACTTGTCTCTGTTGTATACAGTATATCACAGAAGTGAGTACACCCCCTCACATTTCATAAATATTTTAGTATATCTTCTCATGTGACAACACCGAAGAAATGACACTTGGCTACAATGTAAAGCAGTGAGTACACAGCTTGTATAACAGTGTAAATGTGCTGTACACTCAAAATAACGCAACACAGCCATGAATGTCTAAACCACTCACAACAAAAGTGAGTAGACCCCTAAGTGACAATGTTCAAATTGGGCACAAAGTGTCAATATTTTGTGTGGCCAACATTTTTTTCCAGCACTGCCTTAACCCTCTTGGG